CCACATGCCTCCTCATGCTCTCACATCTTAGTGGTTACAAACCCTGTCAGTAAGCCCTTCCAATTATTCTAGGACATTCCAAGCTCTTCTGACTCCATAGTGCAGCAAGAGCTCCCTCCAATCTTCCTGAGTTCAGCTCTAGGCCCATATTTTCATTTCCCAAATGCATCACATTCCTAGGTTAAGTAAAAGGGCATTTTGAGACAAATACCATCTATTCTCCTTTGAGGACAAGTGTAGTTTTAAATAGACTTTTTTTCCTAAAAACATTATATACTTTTAAAAGACTGTGAAATTTTCAAAGTATTCTTTTCCCTCAACTCTTGTCTCTCACCCCTTCCTTTGGTAGCTGGGAACAGAAGGTTAACATGAGATGTCTGCTGTCTGGGTCCCCTTTGTGTGGACAGGGTTGGTCTCTCTTTGTTCCTTGCTTTTCCATCTCCACCAATTTGATGGATGCTCTGTCTCTCAACGCCAGAGACTCCAGTTAGACTCTGACAGGAAGGGCCCAGATATGGAGAAGAGTGAATCCACTAAAATTTGGGTTAAAGACTGATTCCTAGGGGTCAGAGACACATCATAACTGGGTGAGCAAGGTGACCCTCAAGGATTTCCACAAGTTGGGATGTTTGCCTGGTCTGTAACTGACATTATCCGTGGAAAAGGAAATCAGGTGACAACATGGAGTAGAGTATTATGAGACACTGAGATCTCACAAGACAGACAGGGACCTCTGGTGACACCTCTTGGGTTATGAGTAGAAGCTGCATGGGCAAGCCAAGTTCTTGTCTCCCCTGATGACACTTCCCCAGCCCTGGCAGGAAAGTGGCTGAAACTGGGAGGGGATGATGGACTTGGGGAAGAGGAATTTTCTTCTTTGTGTAGAACCTTATTCATAATGTTTATCTTTGAATCAATCTGGAGGACATCCTTGCCCTAGATCCCCGCACTCAGCTAGCCCACTGGGCCATCAGCATTATTTCTTACTACTTTGCCAAGCAGACAGATCTTGGTTCCCTTTCAGTTTTACCCCAGGATGCTTAAGGGCCACTGGCTGCTGAAAAAGGGTCCTGGCACCAGTAACACAAGGACCAATGAAGGATATCTCCAAGGGATGGGTGAGCGTGGTGGGTGGGTGTGTGTATGGGTCTTCTACCTGGCTGTTTCAGGCCTAAGTCCTCATGACTGTCCCATCCCGCTTCTCCCCTCCCCCAGATCCCCCCCCCCCATAAAGAAGACAAGCATCTGCTATTGTCAGAAACTGTCCCTGGCACTCATAGAGAGAGATGATTATGTCCCACTGATAATGCCCTCACAGTCCAGTGGAAAAAGACTCAGGTAAGCCACTGTAAAATGTGCCAAGAGCTCCATCTAGGGATACAGAAGGGTGGGGGGGGGCACTAGTGGTTTTCCGGCTGTTAGGATGGGAATAGCTGTAAGGGACTAAGGTACCGTTTAGACTCAGTTTTGAAAGATGAGTTGAGGTTTGCAGGGGAGAGGGCATTGTAGGCAGAAGGAACTACCATGTGCGAAGACAAAAAAGTGTTTCACAAATTGTCTAATGTGGCTAGAATACTGGGTGTACAAGGTGACAAAAGTCTGGCCTTGGAGGCTGTGGCCAGCTTACCAAAGACTTTGAACACTACGAGCTCAGACTTCATTCTGAAGCTAATGGGACTGACTCTAGGGGTTCAGATAGCATCCTCTAGCAACAGAGCAGACGAACGACCAGGCCAGAGAGACAGGTAGTGAGGACTGTTCCCCTTATCCTGACCTCACTCCCTCTGTTCATGGAGGGCAGGGCCTGTGTTGTTGTCTCCATCACTGTTCCATGGCCTAGAATCTCATAAACTGTAAGAACAGCTTATGGAGAGAATGTAGTCAGAGTGGTGTAGCAGCCCAACAAAGGTGGTTTTCCTTATAGCCACCTGCCCAGGGTCAAGCCCATTGAGAGGAAGGGAGACCTAGACCCAGAGTAGGTGCTTAGCCTGTCTACCAACATAAGGAGTTCCTGGCAGGCATCTGCCTTGACACCAGTCAAGGGCAGACATAACTTTCTGCTGGGGTCACTTGGCATTTTGGTGGTGCTACTTTTGCTTCTGCAGGCTGCTCAGTCCCCACAGGGCAGTAATGGTGGGGTGGGGACAGGGACAGGACTCATCTTTGGGATGACTACCAGACCATGGCCTCCAGCTTTGTGGCTCACCTGCCACGCCTTCCCAGACCCTGTTTTGAGCTCTTGGCATTACAGTTCCATGGACAACGGCGAAGTCAATTAGAGGCCAAGGGATCAGGGACTCCAAAGCCCTCTTAAGGAAAACTGAAAAAAAAAAAAAAAAATGCTTTCATCACACAGAATTTGATTGGATTAAAAAAAGTGTATTGGATTTCCAATACTAAATAAAAACATGAAATTGTTTTTAAAAAGCCATAGAGTTTACAGCATCAACTACAGAAAAGCCCAAACAAGTGTGTACAGAAATCAGTCCCCAGCAGCCCTCCAGGCCCCTCCAGCAGGCAACAAGGCAACAGACACATTGGTTCCGAATCCTCCTGAAGGAAGCTGCTGAGCAGCAGCTCAACTAGGACATTACAAGACACACAATGATTTAGTTTCCAAAATCACAGGAAAATGTAAGAAAATGTATTAAACTGTGAAAAGGTGCAATACAGAATAGTTTTCCTTTTTCTTAATTTAAAAAAATCCCCCAACTTTGAAGTTATTTAAAAATAGGTCCCTCCCTCGCCCTGCCCCAATTCTGTGGCAGTATCCAGGTACCAAGGCCCTGAGGTAACAGAAGTATCAGGGTTCATGGGAGGCGATGCCCCGAATACTGAGCATGTTTCTTTGGGCAAAGGTAAGACAGTTTCTGGGGGAATGGAGCCCTCCTGGCATCCAGAGAAATGAACGCTCTTTCAGGATCAGTTCAGGTGCATGGTTTTCCAGAATTCTGCTTGGCACCACCCTCTGTGACCAGCTAGCATGGCAGCAGGAGTCCAGCACTGCACTATTCATTGCCCCCAAAATAATAAATACAAAGAGTTCATCTTCTAGAAAAGCAAATGTGTGGAAAAACCTAAGAAAGGGAGAAAACAGATGTATAAAGGCAAGCAGCTTGCCAGCAGCATGGGGGCAGTGTGAGGCCGGGCAATGCTCAGGGCTCTGGGGCAGGCTTTTTGGGAAGGGATGCCTGCTGGTGGTCTTGGCAGTGGCCTCTTGTTGGCTGCAGAACCACCAAAGCCCTATTCAGTTCACTGCCTGCCACACTGAGGCCCTCTCCACTCTCCTCTCCTGGGGGATCTGTTGGGGAGTGGGGGGCAGATGCCTGAGGGTCAGTTCTGTATTTTTTCACAATATAATCTTAATATTTAAAAAAAAAAAAAAAACACAAAGCCCCAAAAACTTTAGTTCCTGTCTTTTAAAGAAAAAGAACACAAGAACTATTTGCAAAGGAGTTCCATGAGTTATTCCTTAGGGAAAAAGGCTGTGTGTATGGCTGAGCTTCTCTGCAAACCTTAAAAACTGCCTGCCGCCTAGTCAGGCACTTAGTTGAGCTGCTGGGGTGCAGGAGGGCTCAGCGCCCTCCTCTACCCCTCTCTGCTGTCTCCTGCCACTTGAAGAACAATGTTCAGAAAGACATGGACATGCCATGTGGGTGCAACAGCCCCTAAGCCTTGCCTCATCCTTGCTATGAGCTTTTTTTGAAGGGGCTCTGAAAAGTGCAAGTGAAAGATGGACTGGCTGAGGACAGGAACTACAGAGAAGCAAGAACTCATATGTGGCAAGTTCCATCCTTAACTTTCAACTTCCCCAAAGGGGACCAATGACAGCAGTGGAGAAAGGTCTCTGTCCTTGGCTCTCTGATATCCCAGGAACTCTGAGCGGGTCAAGCTCTTGCTCTATGCTGCGTCACTCCGTGAGTAGAAATAACAGCATCCGGGGCCTCAGCAGGGACGGTCTTCTCAGGATATGGCCAGAAACATCAGGCTAGCTAAATCCTTGAACCCACCCTATTGCACAGGATTTTAAAACCAGATCCAAATGAAACTCCACTTGCAATGTAGTGACAATAGAGATGGACATGCCAGGAAAGAACAATAAAGAAGATGCTTCCATTCTCTGCAGGCTTCTGGAAGAAAGTACAATGACCAAAACATTCACAGAACCTCAGCAGCCCCTTCGTTTCCTATTCCCAACCCCCAACCCACCCCCACCCCAATACTGAAACTGCACAGAAAGCAACAAACAAGTCTTTCCAATGTTACATTTCATCCAAATAGATCTGTAATCTCACAGTGATGAGAGGAGAAAGTCAGGCCTTTAATAATTATAATAAAAAAATAATGAAAAAGCTTACAAACAGCAATGCAACATTTCCTCCCCCTTAAAGTGATGGATTAACAGCTGGCAGAGGATGCTATGACTCAAAATTAAAAAATCAAAACAAAAACAAAAAACAAAGCCAACCCTTGGAACAACCCACACTGTCAATGACTTTCCATACATAACTGAAACAAGTAGTCAACTGTCAACCACTTGTGGAGAACAGCACAGACTTCCTTGGTTTTTGATAGTGTTTTTTTTAAAAAGGTAAAATAAAATAGGACACAAATAAAATTGTACATAAATGCCAATGTCTACACTCCTTAAAGGTGATGCAGTTGCAGCACAAAGATGCAGCCTGACCACAAAGTGAAACGTAGGTTGCACGTCTCGCCTCTTCCCTGGACACAGAATTTTGGCCCATGGTGCCCAGTCCTGCAAGGTCTCAGCAGGCAAAGGGAAGCTGCCCCGACACAGGCTTCTTCCAGGCTGACCAGGAGAAGGCAGGTGGCCATGCCTGGAGCCAGCCCCACCGGAGGCGCTGGCTCGTCTGCTTGCTTGCTCACTCTGTGTTCTCAAGTGCTGTCCTCTCGTACTCTGTACAATTCCTTGCTTTTCAAGGCTAAGTCCCAAGACTTCTAGACTCAGGCTTGGAGTCATGTCCTGTTGAAGGTTGTCACGCTGTCGTGATGGCGTTTAGGTCCTTCATTAGTCCTTCCAGGTGGGCCATCTCTTTGGTCAGCTCATCTGGTTCATAGCTCTACGGAAAAGAGAACACTGTGACTGGAATGACACGAGGGGCCATCCAGGAAGGCGAGTGCAGAGAGAGAGGTCAAAGTGTCAAGTGGTCACTGTTGCAAGACTGGCCTGCTGACATCCAAGTTGGCCAGAAAAGTCAGAGAGACAACTGGACATGCCCAAGATCACTAAAATCCTGAGGCAGCAATTACTCATTTCTGCACTTTGCAAAAGGCCTTGCCCCCAACACACATCCTCCAGGGCCACAATGACCTGTGACCTTGCCCCTGCTAGGTCTCTGCCATACTGGTATATCCCCTGGATCCCTGGGCCCCAAGCTTCCCTCTCTGAGACCTGTGCCTAGAAATATAGAGGCAGAACGTATTTGTACGAGCTGAGTGTGCAAGGTGAAAGATGAGATCCCACTGATGATTCTGTATTGAGAGCAACCACTCAAGTACCTTCTCCTCAGACAAGGTGATGAAGCAAGACTAAAGGGTGAAGGAACCAAGGATGGCTCAAACCAAGAAAAGAGGACCAGACAGAAGGGAGAGAACTGGAAGGATGGTAAGTGGAAGTGAGAGAAAAAAAACCATTAGCTGTGCTGGTGTAGTGACTAATCTAAGGAACACTAGAGTGGATATGAGAGAAAGCAGACTGACCCAAGAGCACACAGTTCCTGGCTCAGAGGAGATGCTCAAAACATGCATGCAGGATGAGTAAGTGAACCTGTTTCACACTTGCAGGTGGTGAGGCCTGGGCCTGCATGGAGTATCAGCTCAACCAGCACACTCCAGTGGCAGCCTGGGGGCTCACTGCTAGACACCTGGCTAGGCTGACGGCCCCATGCACTTACACTCTCGGAGTCTTCCAGCATCCTCGTGGTCTCTTGCACTTCAGGAGCACTGGGAACAACCACTGGCATAGGAGGCCGGCTCCTTCCTAAGGTCCCGATGGAGGCTGTCTTCACTGCATGAATGTGATGGTTCAGAGCTGAGGAGGAAAAGGGCACCATCAGGGGTGTTGGTGAGCTCGCTCACTCAGACCTGACAAACTACATGAGGTCCAAATGCTGCTCTAGGTGAGGAACATGCACAGACCCAGTGCTCAGATCCTGTTCCTCAAAAGGCACTGAACAGGATGAAAGGAGGAAGACAGCAGAACATTCAAGAGGCCAGAGAAAATATTCCATTTGGCTTTAAAAAACCAACATCCTGGTCCAGGGGTTCTCAAAGTGTGGTGCTCCATGGACCCTTTCAGAATGCCTGCGAGGTCCAAACTTTTCATAGTGATACCAAGATATCATTTTCCATTTTCACTGCACTGACAGTTGCACTGGTGGTACAACAGCAATGGTGAGTAAAACTGCTGGAGCCTTAGCATGAATCAAGGCAGTGGCACTGAACTGTCCTATAAAGCCATGCACTGACACGCACTTGCAGTAAAAAAAAAAAAAAAGCAAGTTTTATTTAAGATTACTCCTAATGAAGCCATAAAATCGATTTATTTTATTAAATCCCAAACCTTGAGTACATATCTTTTAAATATTCCATATAATGAAATGAGAAGCATATACATGATACTTCTAGACATGCTGTTGTTGTTAGGTGTCGCTGAGTCATCTCTAATTCACAGTGACCCTATGCACAGCAGAATGAAACACTGCCTGGTCTTGCACCAGCTCCATGATCCTTGCTATACTTGAGCCCATCGCCACTGCCACTGTGTCAATCCATCTCGTTGAGGGCCTTCCCCTCTTTCGTCAAATCTCCACCTCACCAAGCATGACATCCTTCTTCAGGGAATGGTCCCTTCTCATAACATGACCAAAGTAGGTGAGACGAAGTCTGGCCATTCTCGCTTCCAAGGAGCATTCTGGCTGCACTTCCTCCAGGACAGACCTGTTAGTTCTTTTAGCAGTCCATGGTACTTTCAGCATTTTGCCAGCACCACGACTCAAAAGCATCAACTTTTCTTTGGTCTTCCTTATTCATTGTCCAGCTCTCACATGCATATGAGGCAACTGAAAATACCATGGCTTGTGTCAGGTGCACCTTAGTCCTCAAGGAGACATCCTTGCTCTTCAGCACTTCAAAGAGGTCCTTTGTAGCTGATTTGCCCAATGCTATACGTCGTCTGATGTCCTGACTGCTGCTTCCACTGGCGTTCATTGTAGAACCAAGCAATGTGAAGTCTCTGACAACTTCAATCTCTTCTCCATTTATCCTGATGTTACTTACAGGTCCAGTTGTGAGGATTTTTGTTTTTCCTATATTGAGATGTAAGCCATACTGCAGATTGTATTCTTCAATCTTCATCAGTAAGTGCCTCAAGTCATCCTCATGTTCAGCAAGCAAAGCTGTGTCATCAGCATATCATTCTTCTCACTTCATTTTGTTTTGAACAATATACAGTAAAATCCGTGAAAGCCAGAACTGGGTAAGGTAGAAATCTGTCAGAGAAGGAAAACTCAAGTATTTCCCACTAAACAGAGAGTGACAGGAAAGTGGTAACTGTACTCTGTTAAAGGCAGAAAACTTGAGACTTGGAAAAAAAAAAAGGCAGTTCCATCAAGTTCTGGCTTTCACTGTCATTATTTTGATTAAAAATACGCTATTTTGCATAGTGCCTAAGGCATATGACTGCTAACCAGAAGTTCAAATCCACCAGCCTCTTCTTGGAAGGAAGGTTGGGCAATCTACTTCTGTAGTGATACTGCCTCGGAAACCCAAGGAGGGGTTGCGCTATGAGTGAGATCCGACTCGATGGCACCGAGTTTGGCTTTGGTTTATTTATGATCATATACAATCAGTTTATTACTATATTTAAATGGCTGCCTTAAGGAGAGGCATTTGTGGGAGTGTGAACTGTTATCGTGGACCACCACCAGTAAGTACTTCAAATAAAAACAGACAAACTGGCTATTCAGACTTGAGCATTTGGTAGACATTTTATAGAAACTGAATGAAGTACTTCCTTGGAGTCTGTCACTTCAAGGAAAATAATGGACAGTATTGCCATGGATAAAATTTTCAAGAGAAAATTAGAATTCTGAAATATTTTTATCTGTCACCATGAGCTTGACAGCTTCCCAATGAAGATTCTGGTGATATTAATGGATATGTTTTTAGATAATGTATAATGAAATATGTCAGTATTTGGAGGATCTGTATAACTTACTGAATCAATATTTTCCAAATGACTAATGTGTGATGTTTCAAAATCATGTATTGACAGTGTAAGACAGAATAATGGATTTCAATGGAACAGAGTGAATAGTTTATTGATACAGTTTCAGATTCCATATTACAACCAACTTTTAAGAAACTACCCCCTGTTGAGTTTTGCTGTGGTATGAAAAAAGAATACTCACAACTGTCATTCTTTTCATTATGTTTTGTTTTGAACAACATACAGTAAAATCTGTGAAAGACGGAATCTGGGTAAGGTGGAAACCTGCCAGAGAAGGAAAACTCAAGTATTTTCCACTAAACAGAGAGTGACAGGAAAGTGGTAACTGCACTCTGTTAAAGGCAGAACACTTGAGACTCGGAAAAAACAAGGCAGTCCCATCAAGTTCTGGCTTTCACTGTCAGCTCTGGTAGCATAGTGCCTAAGGCACTTGACTGCTAACCAGAAGGCTGGCGGTTCAAACCCACCAGCCACTCTTCGGAAGGTTGGGCAATCTATTTCTGTAGTGATACCGCCTCGGAAACCCAAGGAAGGGTTGTGCTATGAGTCAGATCCGACTCGATGGCAGTAAGTTTGGTTTTGGTTTATTTATGTTAATATACAATTGGTTTATTACTATATTTAAATGAATTAATAAAGTACTTTTAAACATTGGTTTAATTTCTAATATAGAAATACTGGTAGATGTAACCCATCCAAAGAAAAGCTCTTTTGTCTTCAATAGCTTTTATGAGTATAAATGGGATCTGAGACCAAAAACTTGGAAACCACTGGCCAGTATGAAATCAGCTAACTGAACAGATTCTAATGTGGAAGAACAGAGGGAGAAGCATGGCTTTGAGGTCAGGGATGAGCCCTGTGAACTTGGGCAAGTCACTTCCCTCTGCAGGGTTCATTTCTCTGTCCTAAGGTTCCTTCTTACTTCACAATCCCATGAGTCCAAGTTTGACCTCCTTCACCCTTTCTAGCAGTCTTTTGGAGTGAGGCAATTCTAGGAGGCTGGGCAAACTAGATCCCTTGCCCATAACCATGCTGCTGGATTTTACCAAGGTTTCTGCACATAAAACACAATCCAAAAGGTCAGCCCTTGAACTCCATCAAATTACTCTCTGGTTCACATGCATTTCCAAAGGCGGGGAGCCCACATACTCTCTGAGCAAGGCACTGATACACTGTGACTCTACACTGCTGGGATAAGCTAGGAGGGTATTTGCTGTGTTATTTTCAAAGAGGTTGCTTTTGCTCCATGCTTGTGTCAAAGGGTCCCTCCCCTGGTGCTGTGGCTCTCACCTTGCTGGGACAACAACGGTGTGCTTGGTAACGCAGGATCATAGGTGGGAGGTCCTGGGGGTGGGATTGCTGGCACAGCAAAGCTCTTCAGTGGGTGGGAAGGGCGGACGTGGGCTGTAGGAAGACTCTGGCCTGAATCTTCCTCTTGAGAGCTGGCCAAGTAAGAGGAGCTGGTAGCACCTTCAGGATCCTGATGATCAGTACAGCATGTTTGAGACGAGGAGGCTGGCATGGTGTCAGTGCTGGGGGTATTTCGAACAGATTCTACAGTAGAAAAATAAAAATGTTAGCCATTTCTTTTACCATGAAATACATGTAAAGCCCAGGGTTTTGGCTACTTCTGTAATGAAGCCCCCCTAGAGGAGCTCAATCAGTAATCAGGGCTAGTCCAAGAGAACATGGATCAGTATCACTACCAAGGCTAAGAGTGGACTAATCTAAGAGTCCCAAACAATCTTGTCATCAACCAATTGTTCCAATCTTTTCACCTACACAACCAAGTGGTTATAATTCTACAAATTTAAATTTCTCCTCAGTATCTGTTAGGGAGCACATGTAAAAGTTCCTGGGACTGTTGTTTATTCAGATACAGTAGATATAAAAGAAAATCCAAATTTTCATTCTCTGATTAATAGCTTTAGGAGACTGACTTTTCATAGACGACTGTGTCGAGTGACCAAGGCTGGCGGGATACCTGACAACTGCCAGCTCCTCCCTGAGGCCTGGAGGTTACTGCGGGAAATGTTAATGCCACCGGCTTCCGCTTACTGTTTGGGGACAGTGGACAGCGCACCAGAACAACAGACACGCACTAAGGCAAGATCTGGACAACCAAACAGTCCAAACGTCTGCAAACAGCCTTAAGGTCATGCCAAATGAAAGTCATTTCAGTCCAGAGAAAGAAGCAGGGGTAGATTAGTCTGGAGAAGGGGAAGACTCAGGAAGAACATGATAGTCTCAAAACATGTGAAGTGGAAGCAGAGCTGTTTTTGAGGCAGGGTAGAAAAAGCACTGGCGTTGGAGTCACCAAACCTGGACTCTAATCTTGGCATACTAGTCGGGTGAATTTAGCAGGCACTGAATTTCTCTTAGTTTCTTCATGTGTAAAACAGGGAGAATAGTACATAATTCATGGAGGAACAAAGGAGAATATGTATGGAAAGTGCTGAACACAAATAATTGATACAGTTCTTTTCTTTTTAAATTACTAAAAGGTTTCTCTAAGCCAGGCACTATGCTCAGAGCTTTACATGTGTTATCTCATTTAAGCCTTCTAACTCAAAAGGCACAGTGAGAACTAGTGGGCAGGAATGTGGATCCCTGCACGCTGACGCCCGAGCTCATGCTCTAACTACCACATACTATACTGGCCTTTCCTGCTCCATGATCCTCCCCTCAGCCCCCGCAGGGGTGGAAGCAGTACCAAGGCCCAGGATACCACAGGAGGAGGCCTGTCAAATAGCATGAGCTGTGCACATCACCATTCCCACCTGAGGGGAGGCAGAGAGGGCACCAGCTTGGGGCAACAGGCTGCACCAGGTGATGTGAGTCCTCCTCTGACTCCTAGAATCCTTCCTCACCTTTAAAAAGGAAAGTATACCCTGTGAGTAGTAAGGCCTGAGCAGTGTGCAGAAATCCAATGTCTTTCCCTGTCTTTGTTTCTGAGCAATGTTTCACACCAGGACTTTATCAATGAATCTGCTCCCTTAGGCTCTGAGTCATGAGTGCTGCCTCCTCAGCTTCAAAGTGTCGAGAGCCAAGGGTAAGAGATTCACACATCCTCCTCAAGCACCAAAAGCCTGGCTCTGTGATAACTCTACCAGACCTACATCACCTGTCACCCTCAAAAGGGGTGCACTGTGGATAATGGTCATAGCTGGGGAGCTGCTGGCCCCAAATCTGTGTAATCCTGGCCAGGTGGAAGCTGATTAGGGAAGGTAGCAGGGAGTAGAGGGAGAAAAGTGGGCTCAAGTCCTGACCATGTCACACAGGCCTTCCTTGGCTGCCTCAACTGCCTTGAACTTGATATGTATAGCTCCTGAGGGCCAAAGAGATGCTGGGAAGGGTGAAAAAGTAAAACAGGGCTGCCTACATGAGTATATCCCTGACCAGGGTCAACTTGTTATACACCACAGAGGACTACACTCACACTATATACTCTGTGAAGAATGCTTCCTAGAGTTGTACATCAATGGCCTACTAGGAAAACTGTTATACTCAATTTTCTGCTTTGGTAAAGGCCCTACTTCCTGACCTACTTACCTCCAAATATTGTTTAAGCCACACAAAGTTCATACTGGCCAAGGGCAAGAGAAGTGGAAAGTGCTTTTCCTGTGTCAAGTGGTGATGATATAGTAAACACCCAAGTAAATGCTCTCTAGAGCTGGGACCACTCTGTTCAGGTTCTAGTCCCAGTCCACACACACAAGGCAATACTCTGGGCTCTACAGATATAAGGGCTTGGGAAAATATAATAAAACGAAGGCTCAGATCATTTCTAGATGCTTGTTCTATGCTTCAAATCAATCTTCAGTGAATGTATCACTTTAGTTTTAAATTCGTTTATCTTCTCTAGTCACTAAAGCAAGGAACCCTTTAGTAACATGAATCGCTTACACTTAGTAATGGAAATCATGTGAGTTTTTCCTTGTTCCACATTCTTCCTAGGGCCATACAGAAGGGAATTTTACCAAACCAGACCCCTTCCAGGAGGCCTGGATCGGAGTTGCCATGCTTCTCTCCACTACCACCCCCTCCTTTCCTAGTCCACGAGGCGGCTAATCTGACTGGGAAGAGGCTGCCATCCACTGAGGCAGACTCATATCCCAGCAGGTGGGATTCTTGTGCTTTAAAAATGGAAAAATGGGGTCAGGGCACAAAACCTGCTTTCTCAGTTTAGGTCTGGAGGGCTGCTTCCTGGTCCTCTGTTCTTTTCAGACTGTTAGGTATACAAAGCAGAATAAATGTAGATCCTGAAGACTGCCCTTCCCTACCAGCATGTCCTCAAACCTGATTTGGAGGAAGATCAATTTTTAGACACAGTGGATAACTCTGGGAGTTACGAGATATCCCTTAATAAGCTCTGATCTTCATCTGATGTGTTGAGTATATTTATGATCGATCAAAACGTAATGAAGAGATGAAAGCTACATTTACTGGCAACCCAACTTCTAGCACAAAGTATGGAGGTTATTTTAAAATGAACTCACTTATAATTCCCTTATTTCCAAGCACCACCAAAACTTAGTTCTACCAGAAACACTGTTAACTATTAGTAGGCAGGTTTCAAATGATGAAAAATAGTATGTTGTACAGAAGTTACGAGAGTTGCACTTTAAAACTGAGGGGACAGAAATTCATTTTTAATTGAGGAGGAATCATAATATTTATTACATTCATTGTCCCCTCCTCTTTACTATTTTCTCCGTAAAACTTCTTTGATGGTGCTGCTTCTAAAGTTTCCCAAACTGGGATGTGTTTGTCTGTCAATGCCAGTGCATCTTTCTTTAAAACACTCGATTGTTATGGTAATTTCCTATTTATTTTTAGAGATGATCTATGCCTGGGCATCCCCTCCTGATTTTAACACACTCCATCAGACAACCCGAGGTTTACAATATGCACTAAACCGAATGTGGCTGCTGGGTTAGTGGCCCCTCTCCTCCAACTGCCCACTGCCCTTCAGAGGTTGTTCTTAGCTGTGGTCCCATGGCTGAAGTCATCCTCATCTTACATGACTCTCCTAACATTACAGTGACTGTGAGGCAAATGTGACCTATCTTGTCTGAAGATCACTCACAAAGAGTTTTCCTCTCAGACTAGAGGATGAAAATAATGAACAAATTGAAAAAAGAGAAAGAGAGAGAGGGAAAAAAAAGATTGAATTAAGATGCAAGTTTATGGCATAAGAGTTGGTAATGTGAGTATAGTTACTGCTGTTTTTTTCTAAAATAACATCTTGCACTGCGCATATGAACTTATGGAGAACAACTGGGTGAATTTTACAGAATCAAATTTGAGTCACTAACAGATATGTTATGGTAAATAAGTAACAAATTCCAAATCCCTCTTCGGGCAAGCCCTTCCCCATTTCCGCTTGCCAACTTTTTCAGAACGCTTTCCATCTGGGCTTGATCCTCAGCTCTCACCTGTGGAATTGGCCCTGTCTGAAAGGGACATGGATGTGCCAACGGGCCAGGGGCTGCCCGGGTGGTAGAGATGACTGCGAGCTGGAGAAGCGAGGCTGCTGGAGTGGAAATGATGGTGAGGGTTATCGAGGGAATGGATGGGATGGGCACTAATCACAGCTGTGAATGAACATAAGACAGAGAAATGCTTAACATGCTTGCACAGACACACACAAATCTCAGTTCAATAGCATTGTCCCCTCCTCCCACCTCCCAGGCAATCCAACTACTGCCTTGGCTATCTGGTGGCAGTTAGGTGGATTTGAACTATTAACCATGAATTTGACACTTTTTTTTTTAAATCAACATACCCATATGCAATGTGTATAGATGGTATGTCTATCTTTCTGATATGTGTGTGTGTATTTCAAAAAAAAAAAAAAAAAAAAAAAAAAATCTGAGGAACACATACTAAAATATTAACAGTGATTACTTTGTGGGGAGAGTGGTCAGGATCAAAAAATATTTTTCTTTTGGCTTATCTATATTTTTCAATTCTTCTACAATAAACATGGATTATATGAAAAATATCTATTTGAAAATTTCCCCAAATATTAATCCATAAGCAAACAATGACAACTAAGGTTTCTATTCCTGTATTCCTATGCAAATTACGTGCACACTAAGCCAGAGCTCTTTCACTTAATTTCACCACTGCTGCGCATCACATGTACGGGTGAGTTATTTACATGGGTGCCTTATTTTCATGGGTGCATTGTGGGGAAGAATAGTGTATTTTTCCCTATTAAAAGGACTGAAGTCCCTTCTCTTTTGAGCATATTCCCAATTCATTCTGGCTTTTTCTTCTTTTTTGAATGCTATTTTTGCAACTAATTTTTTTTTTCCAAAACTTTTTATTGTGTTTTGGGTGAAAGTTTACAGAGCAAATTGGTTTTCCATTCAACAACTCATATGCATTCTGTGACATTCCACTTCCTCCCTGTGTTTACCATTTCTAGTGTGTCCTTCTTCCCCATCCCTTCCTGCCTTCTGAGCTTCAACCCTGGGCAAATGCTGCTCTTTCAGTTTTGTACGGTTGACGGTCCTTAGTGGACGTGCATCCCTGGTGTTACTGTTCACTACATAGGCCTGTCTATTGCTTGGCTGAAAGTTGAGCCACCAGGGTGAATTCAGTTTCAGGCCTGAAGGGTGCCATCTAAGGGTTATAGTCTGGGGGTTCCACCAGTCTCTATCAGAACAATAAGCCTGGTCTTTTTTATGATTTTGAGTTTGATTCCACATTTTTCTCCCACTGTATCCAGGACCTCCTGTTGTGATCTTTTTCAGAGCACTCATCATTCTGCCTTTTCTTAATTGCTAAATGAGGCATGCAACAGGTATTTAGGCTGAGTGAATGAGTGGCTGTTTAAACTATGTTCATATCTTAAAAGGAATGCAAATGCAACTGAACTCTGATGGCCCAATCTAGTACTAAAAGCATGAACCACAGACCTGTGGCACCCCCTCCGACTGGTTCCAGTCTGCTGGCTCAGTCATACCCACCAGAATCTAAATTGCCACAGAGATGCCACATAGAACTTTACCAGGAAGACAAACCCTCTTTTTAATCAGGCTTCAATATCTGTCCCAGAAATGAAAACAAAAAAAACCCAGTCAACACCCAAATTTTGGGGATAAACTTTTCTGAAATACTCCCCTTGGAGAAGTTGTAGAAATAGTATTTGAGATAACCAGCTATAATCCCTCAAAATAGGCAAATAGGTTATGTTGACTAGGAACACAGGCAATCTTTTTTTTCTAAGCAAGGGCTTCATAAACTTCGTGATTAAACTTAATTAGCCCCCTGGAGCCTATTAAAATGTTCACTGCCACCAGGTTCTCCCTAGATCTTTGTGGGGACACTCAAAGTTACTTTGGTGAAGAGGAATTCCAGCCAGTGAATGGGGTACCTTTATTCCCCAAATATCTCCTGTCCTGGCCATGTGTGAGCAAATAGGTGGGACAACCAACCTGGCATGGTGACCATCCCCCATCCCTCCCTCTTCAAGGCCTTAGAAACAAAACAGGGCTTTTCCTGTTTTGCTCTTAGCAATCAGAAGGCTCAGGTGTCCATTGGCTAAAACACAAAACCTAGAGTTTCTGGCTGAGGAGGGTCCTTAGGGAATTTTGGGACTTGGCTTCTCTAGTGGAAAAAGTGGTTTCCAGAAGTAGGGGGTTTTTATCAGTGTCTTCTAGAATTGAGGCTGGGGTGGACATTAGTCTCCTGATTTTTACCTAGGAGGTACAATTTAAAGGTTGTAGGTATCAAGGAAGGTTGGGCAATCCTACTTTCGTAGTGATACTGCCTCGAGAACCCAAGGAGGGGTCGCTATGAGTCGGGTTCGACTCGACGGCACATAACAACAACAACAACAAGGTATCAAGGAGGAGCTCTGGTAGCATAGTGCCTAAGGCACTTGACTGCTAACCAGAAGGCTGGTGGTTCAAACCCATCAGCCACTTCTCGGAAAGAAGGTGGGGCAATCTACTTCCATAGTGATACTGCCTCCAAAACCCCAGGAGGGGTCGCTATGAGTCGGGTCTGACTTGATGGCACACAACAACAATAACAACACAAAGAAAGAAAAAAAAAATTTCTGTTGGACTGAACCTCACCTCCACACTAGCAAGCCCTCCCCAGCACTGCATAGACATTGAAGATGAGCATGTATGGTAGATCCATGACCCCATCACCTCCCAAGACCCAGACTTCAGGGAAGCCCAGCTTGTGAAAAAGGACAGCAGCCACGAGGGGAAAAGACATCTCAAACCCCAAAGATCACAAGTATATGGTTTCAGATTCCTGAATTAAAAAATTCCACTCCCACCTAATTTTTGAGGGACAAATTAAATGATAATATTGTACATTTATACTTACTTCTTCCTCAACACTGTAAAAAAACAATAAAGGAAAAAGGAATGATATCAACTGGTATTATCTTTTTTCCTTAACACATCTAAAAGTAACAAATTTAGAAACAGGGATAGTCAAATTTTACTAGTTTTAAAAGTAAGCTAGTTTGGGTAGAAACTAAAGTCTTACACAAAACGAGTCAAGCTACCATCATCTTATAAATCAAAAGCAAAAGGAATGAATTTATTTATTCTTTTCAGGCGCTGTGTTTACATATAGAGTTCCCCATCCAGGCACTTCTTAGGAAAAAGATACCACACTTTCCGCCTGCATGCTTCCAAGTTCAGGGCTTGCTTTCCAGATCTAGAAGTTGTCTCTTACGGGTACTTTGTACAGAAATTACCTATTCATGAATAGGGCCTTACTCTCTAAATGCCAATTTTTAGAACCTAGTGTCTCACATTTGTATACGTGGTCAGTGTGAGTATGAGTGTGTGTGTGCAGACACTGCACACCTGAGAGGGGGGTACCACCAGAGGTTGAATGTGAGGAACCTTTACAAGTGTAGTGTGCCATTGCACCTGTGTGTGGGATTCCCATGATTATCGAAATCACTGTCATTTGTTGACAGAGTGGGCTCAGAGTTTTGAAATGGGACAATAATTAAGGAATCAGCAAAAAATTCAGAAACTCATTTAGGTTAAATTGAGACATGATCTAGTAGATGCTTTCAGGATTAGAATCAAGGTATTTTACAGTGTTATGGCTTACTAGGCTATGGCTAAGCTTAGAGAAAATACCTCAAAATCAAGAACAGCTTTTTAAACTTCCTATTGTAAGGCAGATGGCTCAGTGATTGAATAAGGCTTCTTTCCCATTCCAGAATGGTACAGGGGACCCTCAACTGGAAGCTCCACTGAGAAAGCAAGCCTTCTCTACCTTGAAAACAGACAAGGGAAGGGACACAGAATTTGAAAATAAAGAATTGGTTTTGTTCTACTGGTTTTTGGTTTTTAATCATGATATTTAATTTATTTTGAATTTAAAATATTAATGCTGAATATGTGACAGGAAGCCTAAAGAATACTTGTGACACCTGGCTATCTTCAAGGAGGGCCTAGAGGGATGCCTCCCATCTCTTACAGAGAGATGCTATACACTTCCCCATTCTTGGGAGACTGGGAGAATTGTTTTTTTAGCTTACCTACCCTAAAATTAACGATGTTAGTCTCAAGAATAAACTATGGCTCATCACAAAATACGGCTAACGTTTGCTACTCTGTCTTCATGTTGACAAAACTTTTGTAAATCCCTTTTGTGCTAGGACCAAGTGAATCTGAAGAGATCATTCATAGTTGTTCCCCAGTGTGGACTGGATAGAACTTACGCTGAGGTGGTTGGGAGTCAAAAGGCATCATCATTTTTGGTCTCATTCCTCGCCTTCCAGCCAATGTCGACATGCTGTCCTCTGATTCATGTCCTAAACATCAAAAATGGACATTAGTTACAAGTGTGTGCCCTAGGCTTCAGGAGTAAAACATTTCTAGTGGGGGATTCAAAACTCACAAACAGTATGATAGTAGGGACAAGGAATATATATGTGGGAAGTGAAATAAAGAGGAAATGATGGTTAGAACATTACAGGATTCCCTGCTGAGAGTCAATGCAGGTAATACAATGCTGCCTACCATATTTCAGTGGGGCATCTGTGAATAAGGGCATCTAGACCAAGACCATTTTAAACACCCCATGATAGCTGGATTCCGACAGAATGGATGGAATGAGATACATAGCCATGGACTAGGTTGTCTCAAATGATCGAATATCAAGTTGGTGAAGCCTGATGAGAGATCTAAAAGATCTGGAAGTTGTCTCTTATGGGTACAGAACCTTCCTTGTAACAAGGTAGCGACTCTTCATCAAATGTTGAACAAATCCCATACCACACACATTTATTTAAACCTAGCCTCATAAAGGAATCTCTAAATAGGCAACCTTAGAAAATGGAAAATGATTTAAATGAAGATACTCTGCCAACATCTGGGAAAAACCCTGCACTTAAAATGGCACCTCTGTATGAATTCCGCCTTTGATGAATATTGCTGTCCATGGAATTGTCAACTGGTGTGATATCTTGAGAGTTGCGAGGGATTGGAGTATCAGTCATGATGGGGTTTGGGTCTGGAGACTTATCGATGGGTTTCAGCTCCAGTCTTTCATGATGGATCCAGAGGTCTGGGGGTTTGACATCTTTGGAGTTCCCTTTGTACTTGTGGGAGCCATTCACTGATTTGCATGCAGCTCGTTTCCTAGGCACAAATTAAGAGGATAGTTGTGTGTGTGTGTGTTTTAAGTAACTGATGAACATATTTGTCAAAAGGCTTGAATGATTAAAACTGCCTGTCTGAAAGAAGTTTCAAGGAAAGGCAGAAACTTAAATAATAATAATAATAAAGTAAAACAGAAGTAAGAAGTTTACTCTACGAAGATTAAAAGTTCTCTTCTCCATCCACACATATTTAGAGAGATACTCAAGGTACACTTTAATACTGTCTTGTGATTATTTTCTTTTTGAATATCCAGAGCAGATTAAGATAGCCTTTCCATCAAAGGATCTCTAAAACAGAAGATTCCCCACAAGTTCCTAATCAACAAAGAAAGGACAAAATTAGAAATAAAAAAATGAAATAGAGGTATGGTCTATCACTTATGAAAAAAGGAGGAAACAACATTTTAGGAAACCAAAACTGGGACTACCGACTGGGTAGACATAAATGGGGATGATGGCACCTACTTCTCTGTACCTTACTTTCTATCTCTGCTCACTCACCCACCCATTTAATAAGCATTTATTAAGTACCGAGCATAGGTCAGACCCTGTGCTAGATGCTGGGCCCTCGCAGCACTTTTGGTCATGTAAGAAAGAAAGATTCTGAACTATTATTTTAAAATGCTCTGAGTTTCAAGAAGTGCCAAGTGTTACAGTAACCTCTTAATTGTTGGATCTAAGATGGCTAGTAAAAACTTAGAGGAAGAAGTAACATTTAAGCTAAGACCTAAAGTGATAAAGAGTGCCTTCTAGGTGGCAAAATTGACGCACCTCAAGGCCTTGAAGCAGGAGGCAACAGCCTGGCAAATGAGAAGGGCTGTAAACAGTGCTGAGTGGTGGGCACATAGTGAACCATGGGAAGGGAGACACACAATGGTGCTAGAAAGGGTCAGGAAATAGATCATAAAGGGCTTCTAGAGACATGTTAAGAGTCTGAACTTCTATTTATGGGTAATGAGAAACCATGAAATGACTGTAAGCAAAGAAAATAAGGAGATCAAGTTTCAGTTAAAAATTTACACCAGCTGTGGGTTTGTTGGGTGGGGGACAAAACGAGACCAGGTAGGACACTGTTGCAATCACCTCAGCAGTGACTGATGGTGGCCTAGGACAGCAGGCATGAAGGAAAAGAAGTAGAACTGAAAGCTATTTAGGAGGCAGAAATGGTAGGACTTGGTGAGCAAACAGATGTTTGGCTGGGAGGAGGGGAAAGAGGGAGAGAAGTAAAGGCTGGTATCAATGTTTCTAGCTTAAGCCATTTACTAACATTGGGAGTATTGTAAGACAAGCAGGTTTGACAGGAGAGATGAAAAATTCTGACTGGAACATACTGAGTTTGAGGTATCTCTGTGACACTACAGGGAAAATGTAAAAGTGGCAATTTGGTGTGTTGAGTCTGATACTCAGGTGAGAGGCCTCTTGGCTGAGACGGAAATACAGGAACAGCTGGAATGCAGATAGCAAATGGAGTCATGGGAGTAGGTAAGATCACTAGGGGGGAAGCACAGAGATAAAAGAGAGTAAGTCTAGCATCAGGTCTGAGTGGATAAGAGGAACTGGCAGAGAGGACTATGAAAGAGCATGCTATCATGGAAGACAAGAGAAGAGAATGTTTCAAGCAGGAAGGAGTAGTTGACTGATAAATGCTGTTGAGAGACCATGTAAGATGAGGACTGAGAAGTGTCCTTGACTTAAACAATATGAAGGTCATTGGTGACCTCAACAAAAGCAATTCTGGTAAAGTGGTAGGGGCAGAATCTGTATCAGGAAGGACTGAAACATGAGTAGACAGTGAAGGCATGGTCAAGTGAGCGCAGACAAGCATTTAAGAAACGTAGTGGTGAAAGGAAAGACAGGGATTTAGAGGAAGCTGGTGGTAAGGACCACAGGGTAGAGGGAGGATTATAATTATTTCTTAAGGCAGAAGTCTGAGCATGCTTAAATGCTCAAGGAGAGTGCGCACAGAGAGGTTGGCCATGTTGGACAGAGGAGTAACAGCAAGTACACGTCTTAGAAAAACAACAGGCAATGAGATCCAGAGGATAAATGAAGAAACTGGTTGAGATACAAGGAAATACACTTAAGAAGAGGAAGCAACAATTACTACCAATGTAGAAAGGTTTTAGATTTGATGGTGGCATGCTGAGGTAAGTTCTGATGTAAGTAAGTTCTGAGGTAAGAAAGTTGATGGCTTCTACTTACTTTATGACGTAGAAGCTAGCTCATCTGTTGAGATGAGGGGAAAATGGGGATGTGCTGAGAAACAATGAAGGGTATGACTCTCTAAATGCTCTGTCAACTTTGAGGTTGTAAGATTCTATACACAGCTACAATTTAAATGGGAGGTATTTCAGGTATCAGAGAAGAAGAAAAGTAGTGTTCTTCAGTGGTTGATGCAACACTTGGAAAATGAAGGGGGAAGCCCTGTGAAGACTTGATATATTTCTTTTAAACAAAGGGACCCAATGAGTGGGGTATATTCAAATACAGAATATAGAGACCATTATCCACTGATTTAAAATCAGGAAGGCAGTGCGTCAGGGTTGTATCCTTTCACAATTCTTATTCAATCTGTTTGCTGAACAAATAATCAGAGAAGCTGGACTATATGAAGAAGAATGTGGCATTAGCATTGGAGGAAGCGTTATTAACAATCTGTGACATGCAGATGACACAACTTTGCTTGCTGAAAGTGAGGATGACTTGAAGCACTTACTGATGAAGACTGAAGACTACAGTCTGCAATATGGATTACACCTCAATACAAAGCAAACAAAAATCCTCACAACTGGACCAATAAGCAACATCATGATAAATGGAGAAAAGACTGAAGTTGTCAAAGACAACTTACTTGATTCTACAAGCAACACCAGTGGAAGCAGCAGTCAAGACATCAGACAATGTATTGCACTGGGCAAATCTGATGCAAAAGACCTCTTTCAAGTGCTGAAGAGCAAAGATGTCTCCTTGAAGACTAAGGTGTGCCTAACCCAAGCCATGGTATTCTCAATTGTCTCATATGCATGTGAAAACTGGACAATGAATAAGGATGACTGAAGAAGAGTTGATGCTTTTGAATTGTGGTGTTGGTGAAGAATGTTGAAAGTACCACAGACTGCTAAAAGAACTAACATATCTGTCCCGGAGGAAATACAGCCAGAATGCTCCTTGGAAGCAAGAATAGCCAGACTTCATCTCACCTACTTTGGTCACGCTGTCAGAAAGGACCATTCTCTGGAAAAGGATATCATGCTTGGCAAAGTGGAGGGTCAACAAAAAAGAGGAAGGTCTTCAATGAGACAGAATGACACAATGGCTGCAATGACGGGCTCAGGTACAGCAAGGGCTGTGAGGCTGGCACAGGACCGGGCAGTGTTTCATTCTGTTGTACATAAGGTCGCTGTGAGAGACAACTCGACGGCACCTAACAACAGCAACAACAACAACTCATTTTCTCTCTTAATCTGAAGAATGAGTACTCTTGTTTTTTATTTACTTTGACTCTTAAATGTCCCCAAACATCAAGGATTCTGTCAGTTTGGTTCTTAGATTCTTTTAAATAAAGATCTCAAGATTTCTAAAACTAGGGGAAAAAAAAAGTTCATAAAGATAGATAAATGATTGACAAAAAAAAAAGCTTGCAGAAAAGTTCTAGAATAGAAAAGATTTAATCTTTGATGCTTTCAAGATTTTTCTATACTCAAAGGCAGACAGAGAGAGCTATAAGAAACAGTGATCAGCTGGCTTCTGCAAGGTACCCCAATTCTCTTGGGAAAGTGATGCAATGAAGGCTACAGGAAGCTACTTTATTTGGGCAAAATAAAGTCAAATAGATTTAAAACATCACACAATCTACAAAAAAAATAACACAAAGCCATTACTAGCAGTTTGTAACTTCAGCTACAGGGTAGTTTATACCTGTCCTGTTTATTGAAAACTAACTAATTGTTATTAGATAAATGTATCCTTGTCTAAGGGTTCACTGAACAGATGTATAATCACACACAGTCATAAAACATCTCTTTCATGGAGCGACACTCCCATCTTATGATCTTTCAGGATACTACATCTGGAGTCCTTTTACTGCTCAAACTGTGTTTTACTATTATGGGCAACACAGGAATCTCGTTTTTGGATCTCTGTCTTAGTGGCCAGATATATGAGTTGAAATCTCCTCAAGTTTAGGCTGTTAGGAAACACTGTACAATTGTACTCCTCTGCTATCTATTACCATTAGTCACAAGCCTCAAAATCTCAGAGAAGGAGTTCAGGGATAGTAGCCATTTGACTTGTCCGGAAAATTAATATGAGGATCGTTAACAATCCTTTCTTATTCATAAAAGCAAACCACCCCTTTACCCCAACCAGAATCTCTACACTCATTATCAATTTGTTAAATCTTTATGTCCCTGGAAAACAAAACAAAATAAAAGGTGCATTTCTTTAAAAATATTCTTAAACTTAGATTTGGAATAAGGAGACTATGGTCTTTCTTCGTCCCAGCTAGCGCTGATGCAGGGAAGTAGCCTGCAGGAACGTCCACACACTCGTGCACCCAGTTCACTGTGTGCATATGTAACTGCAAAGAGGTTACCAGCAATGCTGGGCATTTTCCACATTCCCCTCCAGGTATATTCTTGACTAGGCTCTGTAACTTGAGAGGCTAGGCTAAATTAACTACATGTATTTGGAACCTTGACCCTGGCTTCCAGTTGGGTTTCACCAACATAAGATTCTCAACACTGGAGGGTAGAAGGTATGTTTCCTCCCACCACCTCTCTGCTGGGCTAGAGGTTAGCAGTGGTTACATTCCTCTATTGACCAGCACAGCTCCTGTTGGGAAGCTCTTTCCTACAGCTTCAGATCTCTGAAAACAAGTCCCTCCTCTGCCCTTTCAGGCCTAACGGCGATAGCAGCTTATCCCTGTTGCTAGCCTTTCAACATCCCTGCCTAGTTGTCCTTTGCCTCATCTATGCCTTTGCAAACAGCCCCTTATTTAAACTTTCTTTCACCCCTTTTAAATGTGCCACTTCTTACTTGCAAGGACCTTGTGTGCAAGAAAGAGAAAACTATTTTTCATTTCCTTTTAAACTATCCCTCTTCATGTATTTTTTGTTTCAGTTCTGTGCACTACAGAATTAGTAATTAGAATTCCAACAACAGAAGCCAAATAGAACCAAAGGAAAAGCTATGCAAAATTCTATGGCCTGCATTTAGAGGACTATGGCCTGCATTTAGAGGACTGCTTACTTTTTCTGGTGAGAGGTAGTGCGCCTGGTGCAGAAGACAGCGATGATCACCACCACCACAATGGTGATGACTCCAACAGAAACAATGATGACCAACAGCATATTACTGTCTAGAGGAGATGTGGGGCTTCCATGAGGACTGTTACTGCCTGGATAGGGAAAAGCAGTACATTTGTTAGTATTAGAGAACTCTAAAAATGTGTGTACTCAGACTACAGGATCATTCAAGATACTTTGTGTGAGTCCTTTTATAACACTCGTCACTACACCATGTAATAAAGTATCTTGTGAACATGGTTATCTTCTCTAGAGTATGAATTTCTGGAGAGCTGAGATTCTGTCCTATGTATATAGTTCTTAGCACAGAGCACTGCACATAGTGGGTGTTCAGTAAAAGCTTTTTAAATTGTACTGAAGGTTTTCAAAGGTTCAGATATACTTGGACAAATAAGGGTCTACCCCTTTTATGTCTTAAGTAAATTGGTCTTGTAAAGCACCATCTGTAAATTAACTAATTTTCTGACTTTCAAAACCATTTAAAAAAGATGTATTTGTACAAAGGAAACATTTTCTCCAACATAAATAATCTGAAATTATGAAAAGAACTTGAAAAAAAAAAACGCTCTGCTTTTAGAAATATGAAGGAGCCCTGGTGGCCCAGTGTCCAAGGCATTTGACTGTTAACCAAAAGATTGGCGGTTCAAATGCACCAGATGCTCTGTGGAAGCAAGATGGGGCAATCTACTTCCATAAAGACTTATTGCCTCAGAAAACCAGTGGGGGTTGATATGAGGTGAAATTGACTCGATGGTAGTGAGCGTGAGTTTGAGTTTTATAAATACAGTAAAATCTGCAAAAGCTAGAAACTGCGTAAGGCAGAAACCTCCCAGAGAAGGAAAATTCAAATATCTTCCACTAATACAGAGCTATAGAAAAGTAGTAAGATGTGGAAAACTTGCAGGGTCTGGAAAAATAAGGCAGACCCGTTGAGTTCTCACAGGTATCACTGTACACAGTCTATGCAGAGGTAATTCTCTTATTCAATTTCAAAAAACAGTAGGTCCGTACATATGTATTACTTTGACAAATATTCACTGAGTGGTTAATATATACAGTCTCTGTTCTAGGTACTAGGGATGCAACAGTGAACAGCACAGGTGTGAATGCTGGGGGTGGAGAGGGGAGTCGACAATAAGCAAATAAGTCATTAATGTCTGGGACAAAAGAAAAATAAGATGAGGGAGTATGTTACAGAGTGACTGGGCATCTCTGAGGAGACAGTATGGTATGTGAACTGAGATCTGAGTAACAAGAAAGATCCCACCATACAAAGACCTGGAGGAAGAATACTCCAGACAGAGGGAGCAGCTGGTGCAAGGCAGGAACAAGCTTGGCTTGCTCAAGGAACAGAAAGTACAGAGAGATTTAAAAGTGAGGAGAAAGATAAAGATGAGGCTAGGGAGGTGGGCAGGGAGCTCTGGTAGCATAGTGGCTAAGGCACTTGACTGCTAACCGGAAGGCTGGCGGTTCAAACCCACCAGCCACTCCTCGAAAGGAAGATGGGGCAATCTACTTCCGTAGTGATACTGCCTCAGAAACCCAAGGAGGACTCACTGTGAGTCAGTCCGACTCGACGGCACATACCAACAGGGAGGTGGGCAGAGGCCAGACCATTTAAGACCTCAAAGAAATTCAGGTTTTCTTCCTTTTATTATTGTTGTTATTTCTTCCTCACTCACGGGATGAGGGCCAGGCTTTTTATTAAGGGCTTTTAAGTTTAGCTCTACTCTAAATCCTGCTCTCTTCCATTTTCTAAAACTTTATTTCTTGATTTCCTAACCATTTATTAAAGTTATACTTGTTCATATTATCAGATGTGGGCAATACCACCACACAAATATAAGCACCACAGATATATGGTGTCTTTCTTTTTTTCTCCTACTTTTTAAACAATCAGAGCTGTACGATAAGAAGAGGAGCTGCCTTGCCAAGCAGTGAGTCTTTAGTCACTAAAAGTACTTAAGAAGAGACATCCAATCTGGGATACTGTGGAAGAAATTCCTACCATGAAGGCATGGCTTGGGGTCTGTGTATTTTTTCTCTTTTTTAAAAAACTTCTGAGGTGATTCTCATATACAGCCTGGCTTATAAACTCAGGGTATAATCCAAATTTATATACATTCACAGCACTGATGACCTTCCAACCTTGATTCTATGATTTTATAGTCTATAGCTAAGCACAATGTTAAATCTAGGCTGCTTTAGAAGGGCTTAAGAGCTTACTCTTCTACAATTGGTTTCAATCATTTTTATCCTTCATTTCTGAGAAAAAGGTAAGCAGATAGAAAATTTAAGCTGTAAATACTGACCTCCAATAAAACATTTTTACATCTGGGAAAGACTGTGGGAATGGGGCCAATAAAATTAGACCATATTGTTCATGACTGACTAAGGCTTTATAGAAACATTTTAGTAACAGTGCTGAACTACTGGGTGGGGTACCTGGTGGGGAAGACATTGCAAATCAGAGGCTGGGGGCCTGTCAAGTAGAAGGCAAGCAGAGGTGGTGGGAACTCTTTCTGCATTCAAAAGAGACATTCTCTTTCAATTGCCTTTGACCTCTTAACATCTAAGTTGTCCAAAATCTTCCTTCTAAGAATACAAGGGAGTTGCCAAAGGGGGCATCAATATTCTTACCAGGAACATTACAGTCCACTGTATTAAGCAGTACTTGGACTACTACAACAGTTCCCTAACTGCTCTTCCTACTCTTGACTGCCCAATTTAATTTTCACCCTTATCACAGTGATGTCATCACATCAACAAATACATTTAAGTCATATAGTAGTTATCAGATATTTTACATATATTATTCACAGGATAAAGCTCAAATTTCTTAGCACTAGTACTTGAGCTTCTCATAGGCTAATTCTCACATTCCTTTTTAACCCAGTCTATATCCTGTCTCTAGGCAGTGTGATCCCTGGAAAGACCACGATGCCTTGCCTTTACAAATACTGTTACTACTTCCCAGAATGCTCAGTTCCTTCTTTGTCATTCAGCAATTTCTCGTGCCCCTTTTGAGAACTGAGTTAGATGTCACCCCATCTAAAAGGCTTTCCCTTGTCTCTACCTCTCACTCCTCTTGCTCCATGGCCTGTCAAATAAAACCTGAACCTTTAAAAATTGCATGAATGAATGAATGCATGCATACATAAACAAAAGAAAAGACAAAGGAATAACTACTCTTCTCACAGCTTTGAATTATTATACTATGAACAGCACATAAATGTTAACATATGTATCCCAGAGACAGAAACTCATAAATAAAATCCCAGAATTCAGAGTACAAAAATGTCCTGAAATATACAAGTTTGCTCTGCCTCTCTTAAGAATAAGTTAATTTTGCTGAAGTCTCGGCATATGACTTTTTATATAAATAGTCAGAGATTAAGAGATCATTTTATTTCCACAGCTGCAGCATAGGTTTTTAGGGGACAGGTCTTTCACGTCTATATTGCTATTTTAGGCAGGGGTGGAAAGATAGTAAGGTTCATTCCTGGTAACTAATTTTGTGGACATTTTGCCATTTTGGATTCTCACATCTCGTATAGAACCCCCTGCCTTTCATGCTGCAGGTTATAGAAAAGATATAATCATAAATCAGCAGACTTGAGTTTTGGCTCCACTCACTGCCACTGAGTGGATTCAGATTCATAGCTACCCCTACTGGGTTTCCAAGACTGTAGATTTTTATGGACGTAGATTGCCTCATCTTCTTCCCACAGAGCAGCTAGTGGGTTTGAATGACCTATCAGTCTTCTGGTTAGCAGCCAAATGCTTTACCCATTATGCCACCAGGACTCATTGGGTTTTGGCTCTTGAACTGCCATAATTAGTGGGTATAGCCCCAGGCACACATTACTTCTCCATTGAGGCATTTTAAAAAAAAATTCTTTTTATTGTGGTGAAACTACACAGTACAAAACATATGCCAATTCAACAGTATCTACATAGACATCCACAGCGTCTTAATGTGTAAAATGGGAATGACTTCTGTTCTTCCTGTTCAAAGTGTTATGAAGACCAAAGGTGATCTCATGTGTGAAAGTAACTTACAAATGGTGACATTCTATAGATGAGGTCTCATCGTTAAAGTAATTAGAAAGCACCAACTCCTGGAATGGTGAGGAGAATGGGAAGAAGTTTCTAGAATTCCCAAATGAAATATACTACTGTAAGTTAAGTGTGGCCAGAACTCAACAATTCTGAAGTAGTTCTCTCATTTATGTTATGGGTGGCAGCCAATCTCACATTAGAAGGTTTACTTCTGAAAGCAAGATTCTAATTTATTTCTAGAGGCAGTGGGTAAAAGAATCATTTCTTTAGAATCGATTGGAGCTTAAGTTGGATATCTGGGTAAACAAGTTTTATTTATGGATCCTATAATGGGCTTATCATCTATCTTGGAAGAAATACAGGCAGAACACTCCTTAGAACTGAGGGCAGTGAGACTTTGTCTCCTGTGTTTTGGACATGTTATCAGGAGGGATCAGTCCCTGGAAGAGGACATCAGGTCTGGTAAGGAAGAGGGTCAGTGAAAAAGAGGAGGGCCCTCAATGAGATGGATCGACACAATGGCTACAAGAGGCTCAAACACCTCAACGGCTGGGAGGATGGCACAGAACCAGGCAGTGTTTTGCTGTGCTGTGCATGGGGTCACTATGAGCTGGGGCTGACTCGATGGCACCTAATGATAACAAAATGTAATAGGTTTACAGTAATTCAACAAACATTTTTATAGAAAATGGCCTAAAGCTAGATGTACTACATGAAAGGAAGTGGGTAATATGTTACAGCCCACCACACACAAACTACAAAAGACATTTCAAGATTTCAAACAAAACAGCTTCATGCCCATAAAAAAACCAAACCAAACCCACTGCCATCGAGTCAATTCTGACTCATAATGATCCTATAACATACCACAGTAGGACAAAAAAGCCTTAAGAAGGGTTTTACCACTCATTGGAGGTTTGTAGTCAGATCCTAGGTCTGGCAGCCGGCTTCCTTTTCCTGCAGACCCTGAGGCTGAAGGAAGAGAAATCAAGTCAGTAAAAATCCAAAACATTGGGGGTGACCTTCCATTTCACAGTTAATGAATTTTTCTATAAAAAAATTTTGTCTACTCTGTCCATGAGTAAATAAACAACAGAAGAAAACAATGCATTTGTGCAAGCAACTAAGGAGTAGCTTTCTATGCAATGAGGCATCTGAAAGGCTGACACCCTTGTTCCACAGCTCTTTCTAGCATGTGACCAGGCTGTCACTCTACTGTTCAGAAGGTGGGACTATATCTACTTCTCTAGCCCAGAATATAGTTCCTAAAGGACTGCTCAGAGGACTTATGGAAAAAGCTGATTCTCTTGGAAACAGAACTGTACTCTTCCAAGAGACCTGGCTTTGATGACCTGACCTAGCAGGTGTCAGTGCTGGTGGAATTATTTTCTCAAGCACAGTGTGTCTAAATATAAAGCTACCCTAGGCAGGAACAGATTTAAATTGGGCTCTCCGTTCATGCTGAGTCACCTAAACATCCAAAGATGGAAAAAGTAAAGTCTTCCCTTGAGTTGCTCACAAAGGACCCTGTCAATTAATCCAGAAGGATGAGACAATGCAATAGGTGACCAATCTCAGGCTTGGGGCCACCCAAGAGGCAGATCTCAGAAGACACAAATATTGGTTTTCTAAAAATTCATATTCTTTGTCTTGTCCTTTGCTCTTCACATTTATGGAAAAAGCTGCTTGGGTAAAACAAATTCAAGGAGTCCTCTATGAATAAAGAAAAGGTATCCCTCAATCCAAGGTTTGTGGTCAGAAAGTAGTAGTAGTTAGTAATCTCTCGAAAAGAGATTTCAGAGATTGCAAAACAAAAGCTGTTCCTGACTGTAATGTTGCACAGTGCTTGGTAGACTGCTCACGTTTGAAGACTGGCTTCATCACATCCTAATGGTTTGATCTTGGGCAAGCTATTTAGCTATTTTTGGGGGCCTTAAGTATCCTCAGCTGTATAAAAGGGATACTAACAGTATCTACTTCATGAATCTATAAAATATTTCAAATATTGCCTGACACAAAGCAAGTGTTCTATAAATATTAACTATTATTATAAGGATAATAAACCTTTTAGGAAGAATATAATCTTTCCCTTCACAGAGGTAGAGAACATGAAGCTTCAGAAAACTCATAGATGAGTTATTTCAACAAATAAAGGTTGACTAGAAATGTACAAACTAGATGTATGCCTACAAAATATTAGTGTTAATGTCAAGTACTTATATAAAGTATCATACTTGGAAAGAAAATGAAACAAATTAAAATGTGAAGGTTTCTGTATGTAGTTCATTTCAGAGATTAAGTCTAGAGACTAAAACAGTATCTACTGTTTAGTCAAAGCTGCTATTTCCAGAAGCTGAAAATCCCTAAAAGAAAGTAATAGAAGCTCTCAGATATCCAAAAGAATTTTTAGCTCACAGTCCCTGGCCCCCTTTTCCATTGTTCATCCTTATTACCTATTCCTTTACTTCTGTTACCATCATTTCCCACAAATGACACATACATGTCAAGGTTCCAGTTGTTCTTCATATGCTTTTCAAACTATGGTAAAGTCTAGTTGGCTGAGATGGCTTAGCCCTTACCAGGCTTCAACTGAGTCAGGCAGGCTACTTAAGCTAAGTTATTCCGAGTATCATATTATGTATATATTTGCAAAGAATACCCTTTGCCAATGACCAAGCTGGTTTAAATTCCTATAATTTTTATTTTAAATTATAAACAAGAAGCTCTAAGGAGGAACCCAGAACCAAAAATACCAACAGGTAAAGAATTTTAAGATATCAGCAATGTGGTGCTGCTAAGAGTTGCTTCTGGTTAATTAGTGAAGTGAGAGAAGAACAACGAACAACATTTATATTCTGCGCAGATGATTATTTTTCTGTTCTCACCCTTATGTTGTTTAAGTCCAAGTTTCTATCTTGATTAGGGTGCCTTACACACACACACACACACACACACACACACACACGGTATGCTTACAGTTTCTCCAATATGTAAGACTCATTGAATGCAAATGTAAGACTCATTGAATGCAAACATATTTTCAAAGGCCCAAAGCTTTAAACTTAAATTTTGAATCTTCCTTGAACCAAGATCCAAATACTCTGAATTCTCTAATAACTACTCTTAAACCATGAAAGCAACCATCACATTTTCTTTTATTGCACTCCCTCAGTATAGTAAGCAGACATCAATTTCAGCTGAATTCCCAGAGTTCAAAATCACAAAATATAGCTACTTCTCCACCCTGGCAATTATAGTGACAAGACTTCTGATTTCAGGAATGGTGGCATTGAGGCTCACGCTTCCTAAGTTTCCATTTTAAATTCTTTATAACTGCTTTTTAAATTATCAGATATATTTATGAGAAGAAATGGGAAAAAAAAAAAAAAAAAAAAAAAACCAAAAAGCTCTGAATTAAGCTTATGGCAAAAGAATAAATAGACTATCAATTTTGTCACAAAGCGAAAATATTTAGTAGGGTAAATATGTGAGGGAAGGAAAATTCACTGATTTGATTACAACTTTTCCTTTGGAGTCACTAACAAAGCCAGAGAAGGAGTGTAAAGTTCTCATAGCCCAAATGCCTATCATTGCTGCACAACTTCACTATCTTAACACACACTTAATGCCAAATACCTACAGCTGCAAGATCCTTTCTGGACTGTTTCTTCCCCACCCCCAGTCTATTTAGCACCTAAACAGACTCCCCAGCTTTTCAGATACCCCAAGTGCCACAAATATGGACTCAACTCCACTTTGGCCAGTAAGTATGTGGTCTTTTGACACATGGTACCAATCTTCAGGTTAAAAAACAAAACAAAACAAAACAAAAAACAACAAAAAGCTAATAACAGGTCACAAAAGAGAGGAAAGGAAAGAGAGGCCATCTACTCATTTACCTTGATCATTAGGCATTTTATCAGAGGAGTCCGCTAACAGGCCAAGCACAGGGGAAGAAAAAACAAGAGCAAGGATCACAAGGTTTGAAGATGGGACAAGCAGAATTCTAAAAGGAAAAAAAAATAAAACCCCCACTGGCTTCCAACAAAGCGAGCCTTGTTTTTAGCACTAACAGAAAAGAAATCCATTTAGGGTGCCATTTCCACAGACTCAATCCCAACTGAACTTTATTTACCTAAGCTCACTTGGTTCAATATTTTATCTTCATTTTCTTACCTAGGGTTTCCTTAAAGGGACGTTTTACTCTTTTTCACTCTACAAAAAACCTTTCAGGGTAAGAGCCTACATGTATGGAAAGAATCACATTTGATCTGATTGGTAAAACTTTTACATCACTGCAGCTCATCTGACTTAATCAATCTGGAAATGAAAGCTCCACTGTATATAATATGGTTAGGCCAGTAACGTAGGGGGCACCTATTTGGTGTCCAATGGGTGAGGGACCATCAAGACTTCTCATATTACCCACAGTCTCTATATACTTAAGTGATATGAGCAAGCACAGCCCCACTAATGAGACATGTAACAAAACCCTCTACTTGGTGAGCTTTACCTTTAGGTGTTCTGAATTGGACAGCTTCAGACATGGGCCCCATGCCCTTTGAGTTCCGGGCTTGGATTTTGAAGTAGTATGGTGTGTCAAGCGTTAACTCTTGGATCTGGTGAGTTAGTCTGTTTCCCACAACAGGCTCAATAACCCAGTCATGTATCTCTGCATTCACATCCGTACTGTAATATATGATATAACCTGTACAAAGGAGTTAATGGGAAAATAAATCTTATTCCCGCTCTTCCTCTGGCAATCAGCAAGTTAATATACACCAGTAGAGAACCACTTACTGATTAAAGAACAAAGGCAAAACCCATTCAAAATGCCATATTAAACATAATATAGAGAAAACTACAATTTCTACAGTGCCAAGCCATAACTTATCATCATCTATCCCAGCAGTTGAAGTAATGAAAGTGGCTTAGAGGAAAATACAAGGTTAAGTACCCTCAGAACTTAAGAGTTCAGCAAATGCTAAGAAATCATATAAGGAAAATATATAGTCATTTCAACACTTAACATTTGAATAATGCATCATAAAAGCTTGAAAATTTAAAAAATGCAATTCTGAAAACCAATACTGGCTTAATATGCTGTTTTGCTCTTGCCTATGTGACTGTCCAGGAGAAAAACTCCCGGGAAAAGGGAACACCCTCTGTTTTAAGTTCTCCCAGACTTGGGTTGTACGAATCCACAATGAAATGTCACTGATACTTCCACCAGAGGGCACTCAATCCCCCCGCTGGAGCAGGAAGAGCTAAGGCTGCAGGCGCCTACCTGACCTGCACAGTGGTCTTCTGCATTGCTACTGGTTCTTAAAGACAAAATAAAATGTAATGCAAGTCACGTGTGCTTTTTTGTTTTTTTCCTTTCAATAGAAGAGGTAAATTCACAGCTTAAAAAAATGACATAAACACCAGGGATTTATGAAAAGAGATACCTATGGAAAAACCAGGAGCAGGGGAGTGCTAAGAAATGCCTTCAGTCTCCTAAAGCCCCTTAATTCATAAAAAATAGACCTTCAGAGGGCAAACTCAGTATACACCTACATGGAACAGAGGCTCCAAAGGGAAGAATAAACAGCTAAATTTCAGATGAGGGTTTTTTTTTTCCTTGATAAGGCTGAGGAAGGCGTATGTATGTTCTACTGTGGAAGGCTCTCCTCTGCAAGACCGAGGAAAAATTCCAGGTCCCCAGAAGGACCTAGGCCAATTCAAACATTCAGTTCTAAGTTTAAGAACACAGGAAGCTGAAGTGGCAGGCCTGGGTGGAAAAGGAAACTGAAAGCCTCATGGACTTTTCTGGGCTTTAGGGTAAAAAAAGCACAGTCTCTAGTTATTGGATATTGTGCAGAATGAGGCAGGGTTTGGTCTGTGACTCCAAAGCTGGTCATCTAGCCAGAGGTGAAAACAAATAGTTTCCTGGGGAAAATAAATATGTCCATAAAATCCCACTAGAGCCAAAGGCTACCTAGTGCATCCCATTTCCTTTACACATTCAGGTGACGTGAGCCAGAATACCAGCTGGCAATTCCTTTTCATATCACTATGGGCAAACAGCAGCCCCTTGCTCCAGTAACAAGGACCTTCATGACTCACGTCACCCTATAAAATGATCACGTCATCCCAGACTCCTACTTCTCCCAACAATATAGCACCACTCTCCTAGAATGCTTCTGCCAGGCAGGAACGGGGCACAGACAAACACACACTCAAAGGTATCTTACCTGTAATTTTGCCATTGGCTTCAGAAGGAGGCTGCCAATTCACAATTATGGTTCTAGGCTTTCCTTCTTTACTCACAACTGTCACATCCTTGGGTGGAGAAGTAGGAACTATAAAATAACAATACTTTCAATAATCTGTGTCCATTAAATTTACATTACTATTGTTCAATCCTTTCCATTTATAAGACACTGTAAAGGATACACGACAAAAAAGATAAAGCCTCCTGGCCTCAAAGAACTCCCCATTTGTGCATGAATAGGTCCAAAAAAAGTATGTGCAAAGTACCAAAGAGAAAATACCATTCTGTGAGGACCCAGAATTGGCATCTCGGCTGGGGTCAAGGATATACAAGATAGGTTGGTAGGGAAAGCAAAGGATACCTGCATTTACCAAGTGCCTACTATATGCCTGGCATTTTACAAATAGTACCTCACTATTTATGGCAATATTGAAAAGTAGTTATCACTGTCCCTGCTTGATGCACTAAAAAAACAAAAATGAGAGAAGTTATATAATTTGCCTAAGGTAACATTCCTCCCAAGTGTAAAATAGTTCTGTCTCTCATGTATATTTGGCTTTCCAAAATAAACGACTATTAAAAGCCCCAACTGGCTCAAAGAATAAATGATTTACAAAATGATGTTTTACATTTTAAGTTTATGCTAAAAAACATACTGTCATATTGCTTTGAAATGTAAAGCTATTTATGAAACAGAAAAACCAATAAAATAAAAATGACTATTTCTTGTGTTTCCATGTTATGGCTAAAAACTTAAATTACTAGTAAGGAAATAAGCAAATTAAGTACATGCTTAAATGTACTCTTCTCTTCCTAAAATACAGGAATTCTCCTAGTATAAAATGGAAATGCAAACATCCTAAGGAAAAACACAATCTCATTTATTAGCCAATGGGTTGGAATTAAAACCAAAACATGTTCTTAAAACTTTGGCAGAGAGAGCAAACTCAAGGTCTATTTAATCTTGTGTGCATTGTGTTTCTAGCTCTCCAAATCCAACCTATTACTCTGTAGGGAGAACGATACAGAAAACAAAAAGGTATCAGTGTCAAGCCCAGTCTGGGAAGAAATTACAGTTCCATTTTTTCATTCATATATAGGAGAGAAATAAGAGGCCAGAATAGACAGAAACTCCCAATGGCTGCACATACTCCCCAATGTCAGGAAAAGTTCAGAGTGTGGGGGCAGACCTGAAAGTGACCAAGAAGCAAATAGAGCCTCAAATTCAGATGGTCTGCCTGCTCCTTAATTTCGTTAGTTTTGTCTCTCATGTCCACTTACAAACAAAAACTGTATGGATATTTCAATGAGAGACACTAACTGATTTGCAAGAAAGCTAGCTGCAGAAGCTTAGAGGTCACCTGAGAAAGTGCTCAGGATCTAGGAAGTATGGCATTGCCAGCTGCTTAGAGAAGGGTGGATCGCTTCATCTTTTCTATCACAATTTACCAGTAAAGCAGGATTAAGGACACTAACCCCTTAATCTACACAGTACTTTATAACTGACCATGTGCTTTCCCATCTGTTTCTCATTTTACCCTTACAATACCACTATATAGTAGGAAAGGCAAAGCTTACTACCCTTCTTTTACAGATGGAAGAAACCAAGATTCAGAGAGATTTGATGACTTGTCCATGATCCCACAACCAGCAAATGACAGAGCTAGGATTGAGCACCAATCTCTTGATCCCTAAAATCTAGTATGCTTTGTACTGTATTATTCTATCATTTGTTGATGTTCTTGTACAGTGATTTAAAAAACTCTGTAATTCATCAGCTGAAACAGCAAACACTGAACGCCAATTGTAGGTGTTTCCTGGGTTCTACCAATATGCCAACTCATACATGCAATTTTTGCACTGTGCAGTAAAGGCAGATGATGAGAAGCCTCATGACTTGGAAGGTGGGACTACATTAACAAGAACTTCCATTGGCTTTCCACATTTTGCAAAGAGAAGAAATACCCTGATGATATATACCTAATTCAAAGGTGGTCCCATGGGCTGTCATACTCCATGTGCTTGATCTTCGACCTTTGGTCACCATCACAGAGAACTCATAGAGTGTATTTGGTTTTAAGCCAGTTACCAAATAATTCAAAGTTGTTGCATTTGCATTCTGGAAAGATATGAATCAAGAACTTTAGAATTAGAAAATACCAATAACTAGCTCTTCTCACCCAGAACAAATGTGTCAGTACCTTGTACTTGGTGTTTGCTGGGATGTTGGTTTTCCATCGGACTGTGTAGTACCGGGAGTCTGTAATCTTCTGGTGTTTGGGCAGTGAGTTGTCCGCCCATGTAATCCTTATGGTGTCATGACTCAGAATGGAAGCCTGAACTCCCACTGGTGGCATCATGGGAGTGGGATCTGGCACTGGAGTGTATGGAGCATTAATAACAAATAAATCAACTTCAGAAGTGTCTGGGTAGAAAGTAATTAAAAAAAGGAAGTGGCATTTTAACGTAAACAAAAAGAAAAGGAAAATGCAAGGTAATGTAATGGGATGAAAGGTGAGAAATGGAGAAAAAGAAAGAGAATCTGGAGTTAAAAGACAGCCATCATTCATTTGTAAGAATAGATCCATGTGTTCTTTCAGGAAAAATCTGCAGGAAAATGTCTAGAGAAGCAGTACTTAACTATATTCTCTATTTCATTCTATAGGTATATTAAAATCTGGCAGTCCAATGATTATATTACTCATGAATGACTTTTCTTAAAATCATTTGCGATTTTATCTCTTTTATGGAAAGGATCATGAACAGATAAAAATTGCTTTTAAAATCAAGGGTACAATTTCTGGACAAATAACAGAAATCTTATGGTCTATTTGATATTTCAGTAAATGTGGGTGAATTTTATCACTACGTATCACTAGACACGTAAGAGCCTTACTTTCAAACCTAACTTACTTAGCCTGGCCTAGGTATTGAGGATATCTGTACCCATACAGTGTCAAGGTCAGATCTGCTTATGTCCTATATCTAAAGGCAGCACAAGTATTCCCCATTTTCCAAAAGTTTGCTTTATGCCACCTCACTTTTACACAAGACCTCTATTAGTAGTGTTTTCACTAACCAAAAGAAATCAGAACAATTTTTTAAAATAATAAAAGCAAAACAGTTTTGATTTTATGAAAAAAGACAAAAAGCCAAACTAGCATTCAGCATTTGTTTTACAGCTAGCCATTAAAGAGGAATCATGTATCCCAAGCAGCACGAGTGGTGTTGCCTGTACATTGTATACTGTACACTGATATGGCTTACATCCCAATAAAGCAAAAGGAACTTAAGGGCATTACTCTTCTTTGAGGAAGGCAAGCTAACACCATATATGGAGTAGCTGCTGTACTTGGCTTCAGTACAGAGAACAACCCACTGATGAACCCAATCAGTTATGGGAAATGCCATGATTATCACAGGTTCAAGAGGCATAGCCTTTAAGAACTTTAAAAGTCAGAATACTTATTTGATAGAAAGGAAAGTCTATTTCCATGTGGTGGTCTGTTCCCTATGTAATGAACACATTCTCTAAGCATCATAGCCAAAACAGAGGCTAGGATGAGCCAAAGGCACTAAGGACCATGGGCCCAGGGTAACACAGCAGGATCCATTTGGATCGTAAACTTTTTGGTTAGGTTTTCAAAGTATAGGAGCTCTGGTGGTCTAGTACCTAAGGCATTTGACTGCTAAACAGAAGGCTGGTGGTTCAAATCCACCAGCCACTCCTTGGAAGGAAGACTGGACAAGAGATACCTCCTTGGACACTCAAGGAGGGGTCGCTATGAGTCAGGGTTAACTCAATAGCATTGAGTTTGTTTGTTTGTTTTTTAAAGTATTCATGCACTGATTTATTTTAAGTTCAAGTTTTAAAACAAGTTTCTCATGCAGCTATGGTGACTAGCCCTTCTTAAAACTCAAAATCTGAAACTGCAAAGCCTGTTTGTGATCTATTGCCAAGCTAAAGTAATAGTCTCCATAGTGTAGTTCCTACACAATGAGGACTAAAAATAACAGAGGAACAGTGTACATTATAATCATGGGCTTTGTTCAAAGATTGTCAGGGCATATACCAATTAGTTACAAAAAATGCACGTTCAGGTGCAAAAATCACTAGATTTGAGATTCTTTTTTTTAATTTGTACTAACTCCTGGAGAAGATAACTAGCTTACATAACTTAGAAAGATTTCCTTGTATATTTCTAGCCAGCAGGTGATTTATTTTTCAAAGCTATAATAAAAGAAAATAATTACAAATTTTCTTTTTTCTATAAGAGGCTTACATAAGAATGCCACAGAAAGCCACTTATTTTAATATCCTCTTTTTGACCTAGGATTTTTTCCTTTCTAGAATACCAAAGCACATTTTTAAAGAATTTATAAATTTTAAGGATACAGGAACAGAAATCAGGATAGAACTACCAGACATGTAATGGTGTTGGTTTTGTTAACTGGAAGCTTTTTTTTAAAAAATGACAGAGATTAGTTTTTCAAAAAGAATATTGCCAAATTTGCACTATTATGCAAACTTTCCAGGAAACATAGCAGGGAATATAGATTCAAAATTCTGGGAAACAAATGGAAAAGAACATTTATGAAAACTGTAACTTCTCTGGTTTTCAGCACCCTTAAAAATTTGCAAGTCTCATACATTTATTTCAATAATTTTCTCATTCAAATAGAAATGAGATGTTTTATGTATCTGTAGAAATTTTACATTGATATGTATATCCCTTTATTTTAAAGGCCTCTCAAACAGAAAAATTACAAAGAAAAATATTTAATTTTTTTTGGTAATATACTGCTGATCAAATGGATAGTACTTCTGACTTGATACTCTTAATACAAATAAAACTTAGGAAAGACAAATACAAAGATACTTTCCTAACTCAGATGACCAGTGAAACAAATGTTAGATTTACCAATCATACACCTTTGTTGCCCTCACCCATAACTTAGGTAATTCCTTCAGAGATATGGATATCCTTTCATTTATTCATTTTAGTTATAACTCACATGAACAAAAGAGGGAAAATAACTATAAATCCCCCAAAAAATGCTTTCTGGATACCAATGCATTAAAAACATGGGTTATATATTTACATGGAATTATTTATATGATGTTGTTGTTGTTGTTGTTATGTGCCAAGTCAGCCCCGACTCATAGCGACCCCTCCTTGGGTTTCTGAGGCAGTATCACTACGGAAGTAGGATTGCCCAACCTTCCTTCTGAGGAGTGGCTGGTGGGTTTGAACCGCCAGCCTTCTGGTTAGCAGTCAAGTGCTTTAGCCACTATGCTACCAGAGCTCCTCATTTATATGATAGGACTGCAAATATTTTCCAAAAAGCAAACCAGGAATTAACAGAACTTTGCATGTTAGAAATCACATTATCCCATTTGAAGTCTGAACCCTGATTTGCAATATACTTTTCCTTCTACTGGGAGCTCTGATGGTGTAGTGCCTAAGGCATCTGACTGCTAACCAGAAGGCTGGAGGTTCAAACCCACGAGCCACTCCTCGGAAGGAAGATGGGGCAATCTACTTCTGTAGTGATACTGCCTCGGAAACCCAAGGAAAGGTCACTATGAGTCAGATCTGGCTCAATGGCAGTGGGTGGGTTTCCTTCCACTGACACCTATGAGACAGGCCTCAGGCCAACACACTACATTAAGTCCCCAGGTTACGAACTTTCCACTTACAGGCAACCCCTACTTGTCTTTTGATATTAGGTAAATTTACCCTCACTTTGAAACAACTGAACCAACCCCCACTTGCAACAAATTCTTCATCATAATCACCTTTACTTGCTGCACATGCAGTTTTTAAATCATTGAAAAGGCTTGGAGCCTTTTCTTGCACTCAAGTAAGGCTAAATAACTGTATGCATCTGTTTCTGATTTACCTATAAATTCGACTTAAAGACACACTTAGGAACAGATTTAGTTTGTAACTCAGGGATCGCCTTACTTAAGCTCCTGGAAAAAGCGCAGAAAACCAGGGTAGACAGGATAACTTACCCGTGTGAGGCCTGGTCACAGCACTCTCATACAGAGGGATGCCTTCTCCTACATTGTTAAATGCTTTCAGGGTAATAACATAGTGGGAGCTGGGATCTGACGGAAAAAAAAGAAGTTGAAGCACTTAGAATTCCTCACTGTAAAATTAAAAAAAAAAAAAATTAAAGCAGATCTGTGCATGATCTTACTGCAGACGAAGTCAGGAAGGGAGATTTTTTTTACTTTTTATGTGAGATTATTTTGGGGTGGGGAAAGATGCACAGATGAAAGCCATGCAGTACAAAAAAATTGTCTGAGGTCAACTTCCAGGAGTTAGTCCAAGGTGTGGAGGATGACTCTTTCGTTTAGCTCCCTATCGTGGTTTAATGCTGCCACTCTTGAAAGACCTCTTTAAAGTGCTGAAAGGAGCTCTGGTGGTATAGTGCCTAAGGTGTTTGAGGGCTAACCAGAAGGTTGGTGGTTCAAACCCACCAGTCACTCCATGGAACGAAGAGTGGGCAATCTACTTCCATAAAAATTTACAGCCTCAGAAACCCAGAAAAGTAGGTCACTATGAGTTGGAATTGACTTGATGGCAGTGTTGGGTTTTTTTTTTTTTTTTTTGGTTTTAAAGTGCTGAAGAGCAAAGGTGTCACTATGAAGACTAAGGTGTACCTCAGCCAAGCCATAGTATATTCAATTGTCTCATATGCATGGGAAAGCTGGACAATGACTAAAGAAGACCAAAGAACTGAACTGCTTTTGAACTGTGGTGTTGGCGAAGAGTACTGGAAATATCGTGTGCCGCCAGAAGAATGAACAGATCTGTCCTGGAAGAAGTGCAACTGGAATGTTCCTTAGTAGCAAGAATGGCTAGACTTTCCCTCACCTACTTTAGTCATGTTGTCAGAAGGGACCAGTCCCTGGAGAATGATTATCATGCCTGGTAAAGTGAAGGGTCAGAGAAAAAGTGGAAGACCCTTGTGGTAGTTGTGTGTCAACTTGGCTGGGCCTGGTTTTGAGTGGCTGGGTAGCTGGGTGTAGTTATTTCCCATGATGAAACTAGTAATCGACTCCATGGTAGAATGTGCAGTGAGCAACTGAGTACCTGCCTTAGGGATGTAGTCTGCTTCCAGTTAATAAGCAGCAGCTTTGGGAATGGTCTTGAGTTTTCTGGCATGCTTGGACCCTGTATGTAGCCGAGTCTTCATTCAGCAGCCTGCCATGTTTCCTGCCTATCTTGGGAGTGTCTATGGACTTGAACTAGTGGCCTGCCATGTTGTTTGGTAAATCTTGACACCGTGCCATTATATTTGTTGACCTTGGGTTTGTCACTCTTAGCAGCCAGCAAGTGTCTGAGTTAAGAGAAGTCTCCAGGTTTTGTAGGCCAGGAGCAAGAAGCAGAGCTGAAGCCCAAGGTTGAGGGGCCTTCACCCAGCCTCTAGAGCTGGCACTATGAACTTGGACTTTCAGCCTCTTAAACTGTGAGAGAATAAAACCGTATGTTAAAGCCACTCATATGTGCCACTTTCTGTTAGGGCAGGACACTGTTGTTGATCACAATAAGCCTCAACAAAATGGATTGACAAAGTGGCTACAACGATGGGCTGAAGCACAGCAAAGATTGTTCAGATGGTGCAGGACTGGGCAGTATTTCGTTTTGTTGTACACAGGGTCACTGTGAGTTGCAATCAACTCAATGGCACCTGAAACAGCATGTTTAATCACATTCACTGTGTGGCACAGGAGCTTGGAAAACAGTGAATAAATAGGATTGTCACGTGTTTGTAGCCTGTAGGAGGAGTGTGGAACTAAATAAACTCCTTTCCAGCCTGAAGGAGGACAGAGATTGGGATACCCAAAATAGAGAAGTAAGAGATGAACTGTGAACCCAGTAACTGCTGAATGTCCTTAACCTTCTAGGGGGCATTCAAATCCAGAAACCCCTGAACTTCATCTAGCAATTATGATGACTTCTTAGTTGATTAAGATATGGCCAAGGATTTAAACTATTCTACTTTGAGTTGGCCTGGAGATGATGCTGGAGTTAAGATTGGCCTGGAGATGATGCTACAGGTAACATAAGACTGGCCAGAATGCTGTCCCAGACTAAGAGATAGTCTCTGGGAGATCATAAAAATGCTACTATTGAGACTGACAGAAAAGAGAGGATGTTGAATAGGTTGAATGGTATTCATTTTCCAACTGTTGTTGTTGTTGTTATGTGCCGTCGAGTTGGCCCCGACTCATAGCGACCCCTCCTTGGGTTTCCGAGGCAGTATCACTACGGAAGTAGGATTGCCCAATCTTCCTTCCGAGGAGTGGCTGGTGGGTTTGAACCGCCAGCCATCTGGTTAGCAGGCAAGTGTCTTAGCCACTATGCTACCATTTTCCAACTGGCTGAGGTAAATCAAGAAGACTCTAAAATGATCACATTTCTGATCCATGTAAGGTTTAGTATGGGTACTCCAAATATCTGGTTTTGCAAATAAAGAGTTGGGTTGGGCTTGGTAGAAGTGTTCTAGGATGAGGCGCTAACCCATTCCACCCACAGGCAGTTTCCCAAAGTAGCCACATTTCAAGTGGCCTGCTTTATTGTCATAGTTTAAAATAGCTTCTTTGCTTATGGGCCACACACTCTCTAGATATCAATGGACAACAGAGAGGCATCTGTTTTTTTTCCATGTCAGAGAGAAGTGACAACAAATATAATCAACAAGACTTAGTACTTGGCTGGTGAGGAAAAGGAGTTGATTTGGGCCAACATGGTAGATGGTAAAGCTATTCACTGAGATTGAGAACAGAGGCAGAGCAGCCATGATACTAATTTTCAAGGCTTCATTCTAGGCCCTCTTCTGTTGATACTTTTCTCTGTGTGTGCTTTCATTCATTTCCTTGGCTTTGATTATCACTGATGTATCACTGAATGCAAATACACATCTCTAGTGCAGACTTTTCTTTGAGAACCATACCTATGTTCAACTGCCTGTTTTGGGCTCTGCACTTGGATGTGTCTCAAATCTCTCTTCTTTCTTCCCTCCCTCTCCCTCATCCCCTATGAGTAAACAATTGTCAAGCCTTGCTGATCCTACCTACCAAATACATCTTCATTTCACTCCCTTGCTCCTTCTCTCTCATATCAACTGCTTCAAGTCAGTGCCACTGCTGCCCAGACCATTCTGATGCCTGTCTGTCTCTGCATTTCTACGTCTGCTATCTTCAAATTCATTCTCCCCAAACATTCATTGATTCTTTTAAAAAGGTAAATCGTAATATGTCCAACACCCTGTTAAAATACCTTCAAGTATTTTAATCAAATCCCAAATTCTTAACATTCTTAAAATACTTTATCAGGTACTGCATGGCCTGGCTCCTGCCAACAGTCTCATCCTCACCACTTTTTGTCTTGTTGTCCATGCTCCATCACCACTGGCCACTACTCAGTTCACTGAGTACTATGCTCTCTCCCACCACTAGGCCTTCACATGTGCAGCTGTTCCCTATGCCAGGGATATTTCCTGTCCTCCCTCTATCTAGGTAACACCTGTTCATCTGACAGGGTACATTCAAGACTGGATTAGATCCTAGTTAAATAGCCCTTTCTCTTCCTCATTACTCTGAACAATTTCAATTATTTTGTAATGGTATTATCTGTATTAATTGGAACCATGTCTGTTGATTCCCTGCTCTCTCTGGCACAGTGTCTGGGATGTTGTAGGTTTTCATTAAATATTTGTTGAGTGACTGACTGGTTTGGTGGAGAAGATAAATGACTTTAATTTTTGACAAGCTGAATATGGGTTATATCTGGGTGTAGATATCCAGTAGGCAGATGTTTATATAAATCTGAAGTTTAGGAGTTAGCTCTAATTTGATGAATAAATGAATTCCTAAATGTACTTCTTCACCTCTGACCTGTTTCTTTTGTTCAACATTATGTGCATCTCAGCTCTATCCATGCGGACAAAGAGTGCTTTAGCATACCTTATGCCAAATGTACTGGTTTTGCTTCTTCTGAATATGCAGTCTTTTTTCTTCTCTACCTGTTATTCTCTTTAGAACATGTAGTCCTCTTTCTCATCTCCCTGTTTTCAAACGCTATTCTGACTCAAGCTTTCAAGCAAAGTTTCTTCCCTAACTGCTCTACTCTGCCCTGCTAGCTTTCCCTGCTCTGAACACACTTCACTTCTACTCACTTCATTGTTTCTTGTCTTTTTCTTTTGTTCCCCTATTAGATTGAAAGCACCCAAAGGTCAAGGACCATGTTCTGCCTACAGTGCAAAAGATTTTCATTTCAACAGCTGCATAAAGGAAACAGTAGGAGGCCGGTCACCAAGGAACATCTTTATCCTACCATCAAAACTTTCTTTTGCTCTCCCACAATAGCCTCCTAAGACTGCCCATGTGGGGGAAATAATTCCTAGGTTAGCTCGCTAACCTAGGAAAAAGAGAAACGCTAGTTTTTTTTTTTATTTTTTTTAATAAAGCATTAAATTGCTGCTTATAGTCAGTCTATTAGAAAGGATGAAGATAAGTTATTTGTTATATAAAGTTGCTTTGGGAATGATTCACAAACAAATCATTTGAATAAAACAATATGGTCAGGACAGATTCTGAATTAAAAGATGTCTTTTAAAGAAAAGTCTATAATGATAATCCAATTTGTAAAGGTAATTAAACTTACCAAAATAAACTTATTCCCTATTATAAATATTGTTCATTTATTATCTTTCAAATGAATAATGAGGTATAATTAATAAGCAGTAAAATGTACCCATTGAGTTTTGACAAATACATATACCTGTGTAATTACCACCCCCATTTTTAACACTCCAAATAGTTCCCCTGTGCTCCTGTCAGTAAGTTACCACACCCCTGGTTCCATGTTCTTGCCTATTCTACTTTCTCATGCTCAGTTCCTTTTGTTCAGCATGTTTGTGAGATTTACTTATTTTGCTTCATGTATCAACAGTCTATTGCTTTTAATTGCTATTCCAATGTATAGCTATAGCATCATTTACCATTAACCTATGATGGACATTTGTGCAATTTCCCCTTTTGGGGTACTGTAAATATGAAGAAGCTTCCAAACTATTTTCCAAAAGTGGTTGTACTATCAGTTGTTCCCACCAGCAAATACTAGATTCAGTTGTTCCATATCTTTGCTGATATTTGGTACTGTCAGTCTATTAAATTCAGCTGTTCTAGTGGGTGTGTAATAATGGTATTTCACTGTGGTTTTAATTTGCATTTTTCTGATGATTAAAATGTTGAACATCTTTTCATGTGCTTATTGTCCACTAATATCTCTTCTTTGGTAAAGTATCTTTTACCCATTTTTAATTAGATTGTCTTACTGAGTTATAAGAGTTGTTTTCGTAGTGTAGATCAAATTCTTTTGTCAGGTATTTGGATGGAGAACATTTTCTCCCAATCTTTGGCTCATCTTTTAAATTTATTGATGTCTTTCTGAAAGCAGAAATTTTTAATTTTGATAAGGTCCAATTCATCAAATTTTTTCTTTCATGATTTTTTTTTTTTCTTTTTCATCCTAAGAAATCCTTGCCTACCCCAAGATCACAAAGATTTTTCTACTATATTTTCTTCAAGAAGTTTTATAAGTTTAGCTCTTGTATTTAGGTCTGTTTTTGTTTATGATGTGAGATAAGGGTCAAGATACCTTTGCTTTCCCATACAGGTATCTAATTGTTCCCACACCTTTTGTTCAAAGACTAGCCTCTCTTTACTTAGGACCTTTGTCAAAACTCAATCCTATAGGCATGGATCTATTTCAGGACTTGTTCCACTGATTTATAACACCTACCTTTACACCAGTACCACCACACTGTCTTCATTACAAAGAGCTCTGGTAGTATAGTGGTTAAAGCATTTGGCTGCTAAGCAGAAGGTCGGTCTTTTGAATGTACCAGCCACTCCGTGGAAGAAAGATAAGGCGGTCCGCTTCTGTAAAGATTTACAGCCTTGGAAACCCAATGGGGGTTGCTATGAGTTAGAATTGACTGTGGCAGTGAGTATGGTTTGGATTTAGTCTTCATTACTGCAACCTGATAATAAATTTTGAAATCAGGTAGTGTGGGACCTCTGATTTTTCTTTAAAAAAAAAAAAAAAATTGGCTACTCTTTTTTTTTTTTTTTTTTCAGTAGTCTGTATAAATTTTGGGAGCTCTGATGGGGTAGTGCCTAAGGCATTTGACTGCTAACCAGAAGACTAGCAGTTCAAACCCACCAGCCACTCCTGGGAAGGAAGGTTAGGCAATTTACTTCCATAGTGATACAGCGTCAGAAACCCAAGGAGGGGTCATTATGAGTCAGATCCGACTCCACGGCAGTGGTTATGTTGTTGTGTTGCGTATATATTTTAGAATCAGCTTGTCAATTTCCATAAAAATATTCTACTGAGATTTTAGTTGTGATTGCATTGGGAAGAACTGTCCTCTGAACAATCCTATTCATGAATGTGGTATCTCCATTTAATTAGCTCTTTTAAACTTTAGCAAATGTTTCTAGTTTTCAGTTTAGACATCTTGCACATATTTTGTAAATTTGTTCTTAAGTACTTCCTATTTTTGATGCTATTGTAAATGGTATCATTATTTTAATCCCAATTTTCAATGGCTTATATTAGCATAGAAGAATACAACTGTTTATATATAATGACATCTTGTAACCTCGTTAAACTCTCTGGTGGTGCAAACGGTTAAGCATTTGGCTGCTAATTGAAAGATTGGTGGTTTAAGCTCACCTAGCCACTCTGTGGGAGAGACACTTGGCAATCTGCTTCCACGAAGTACAGCCAAGAAAACCTTACAGGGCAGTTCTACTCTGTCACATGGTATTGGCTATGAGTTTGAACTGACTTGACAGCAACAAACAAAAACAGTATCTTGCAACCTTGCTAAGCTCATTTATAGTTTTAGTAGCTTTTTTGTTGGTTTCTTAGGATTTTCTACCCCACTAACAATAAGCACATACACTGTTTGTATCTTGGGTTTTAAATATCATGTTTCATAAAAGAAACCAGAGTTCCTTGGAGAAAAGGGTGATTACAGGACTGAGGCTAGGAAAATATCAAATGAACCTGGGACATTTTAATTTGTCAAAAAGAAAAGTGTTCAAAGATAGACAAGAGAGGTCAAATGGACACAGGGGCCAGAAAAAGAAGCTCTCACTAGCCATCCTCTTCCTGTGAGGGAGAAGGAAAGCTCTTCCTTATCTTAGAATGCTAACAAAGGAAGAAGGAATAATGGAATTGTAAAATCACTATTTGGAAAATATCATAGTAATAACAACGACCAAAAGCTCGCTCTGAGTCAGAATCAACTCGATGACATACAACAACAACTTAGATGCTAAAACTAGCAGGTCAAAGTTTGATGAAAAATAGGAAGTTTACAAAGACTCAAGGCATCTCCCCACAAGGCAATCATTAATTACAAAATAGAAAATAATAACTATAGTGGAAAATTTTGGCAGATATCATTTTAAGCAAGTAATCAATGTTAACATCACTAGCAACAAGCTAAATAGATATCAACTGGCTCCTGTTATGATGCACCAACAATACTTCTGTGCTATTCTTTCTGAAAATTCCAAACCTGAATGTAATCATGAGGAAATATTAGACCAAGGGACGGTCTACAAAATGTAAAAGGTCTGTACTTTTCAAAAAATGTGATCATCATGAGAGACAAGGAAAGACTGAGGAACTGTACTATGTCAAAGAAAACTAACAAGATATGATAACTAAATAACCTGGACCAGAAAACAATTTTTTTGGGGGGGAGAGTTATAAAGGACATTAGGTAAGACAACTGGAAAATGTGAATAAAGTCCATAGATATGGGTTCAGTGTTAACGTGCTGATTTTGATAATTGTACTGTGGTTACATTAAAAAAATACACCATTTTTAGGAGGTGTGCATTAAAATATTAATGGGTAGGAGGGTATCATGTCTGTAACTTCAAAATGGTTCAGAAAAACATGTGTATATCAGAGAATAGTAAAATAAATGTGGTTAAAATGTGAGCCTTTGGGAATCTGGGTGAAGGATGTATAAGAATGGTTTATACTATTTTTGCAAATTTTCTGTAAAAATCAAATTATTACAAAATAAAAAGTTAAAAAGGAAAAAAAAATCACATGCACAATGACTTCCCGTATTTAGCATACTTACCCAGATTTTCTATAGTATAATAGCGCTGTTTATAGTCCACTTTGATGGTCTGGGCATGAGGGCTGCCAATGCCATAACCAATGGCATAACCTCTGACCACAATGTTCTGGTTCTCTGGAGGAGTCCAGCTTACTACAATACTAGTGACAAGCGGGCGCACGTGAAGAGAACTAGGCACTTCAGGAACCCGAGTTTCTGGGAAGGAAAATAGAAAAGCAAGATGAGACCCACCTTTTCCTTTAGGGTAGTTCATCATCCTTGGGAATGGTGCTTTGCCCCCTGCCAAATTGTTTGGGCCTCAGTTCTTTCCATTATGCCCAAGAGTGTAAAGAGAACTTGTATGTACAGTGAAATATGGCCCATAGTTTTATTGAATTCGAGGAAGAAAACAAAATCTAACCATCCTTACTGCTATCATGGATTCTGACACCATGGTTAGAAAATAAAAGACATTGCAATATTAATTTGGAAAGAGAAGACAGAGAGATTCAAGAATGTCTGCTCAATGGAGAAAAGCAAATAAATTGCCTTTCAATAATTGCCTATACTTCTTGGCCCCACATCCCAGCTCCAAACTCTGCCAGGTAGAATGAGAAAGGCGTAAATACTGAGTAATTAGAATCCTGTTGTCAACAGCTGGACAAGCATCACATTACAGCAATAGTAATGAATTTTTATTCCCCTGAGTAATATGATAAGTCAGAAATTATGAAACTTTAGAACCACAAATTGATTCAAATGGTGAGAGACTAAGAGGCTTAAAAAGCTGGCAATTTGCACAGTATCTTTCACATACATTATTTCAAGGCATAAATTACTACCTTAGTTTAAAAATTAGTAAACTGAGACTGAGAATTAAACTCAGTTCTTTTGTCTCCCAAATCCAACACCTGTCACTGATACAGGTGCCACACAGACACACCCACTTGGAGCCACTCATTTAACAAACAGGTGAGAAAAAAAGCAGTGTCCAGGACTTAGGTAAAAAGAGAATTGCAAATGAAATAAAGACATGATTTATGTGCCTCAGTTTTCAATTTTAGTTCATCCATCCACTTAATGGCCTAGCTGAAAAACAGACCCAGAGCACTATCTAATTTTTATTTGTTTTGGGTCTGTTTAAAGGAACAGTCCTCTAAAAGCCACTGCAAGAAATACATTCCAGCTGCATTACAGGATGATTAATACACTAAAGCTCACAGATTTAAGACACATAACTCAAAAGTCTGTGGCTTTCTAATTTGACTCATTTGATACATTATGTACTCAGAACGTGTCAACTCAGTCAATTGTTGTTCTTACCGTCTAAGTCACTTTCAAAAGTTTCAGCAGACAGCCAGTCAGTAGCTGGGCCTGTACCATTGATCGTAAAAGCAGCCACTCGGAAATTATACTCAGTCCCACGATCAAGACCTGAGACCCAAACAAGGGAAAAATACAGAAACAAAAAAAACAAAAAAGCTGAAACAAAAGCTTTGGGAAAACAAAGCATTACTAATTGCTCATTAAAGCAAATATTTCATCCACCAAGTCAGTAAGATCTGAATATTCTACTTTATGGGGAGCACGTACATGACTATTATACCTTGATAAAGTTTCAGTTAAAGGTTAACACAGAAGCAGCAAAACATAGAATGTCTGCTCAATGACAGAGTAGCTCCCATCTCTAAAGCAGAGGCTGAAGCCCACATATCCCAAGAGAAATGGAAATGAGTAAAGCTTCCATGAGATTATGATATTTTATTTTAAAAGCTGGAAGGCACCTGAGCAATCACTTAATCCAGTCTCTTCATTTTGTTACTAAAAAACCTAAGGCCAAAAAGAAGCCAAAGATAATTAAAGAGTTACAACAAAGGAACAGCATCAGTTGATCTCAGAAGATACCAAAAACCAGAAAAATGCAGCTCCTTCTATCAGGCTACCTCTGCTCTCTGAGCCATGCCACACCACGTCACCCCACCCCACCAAAAAGAAATTTAATACCAAATATGGCTGTGGTAGTTAATGTTGTGTATCAACTTGGCTGGGCCTGGTTGAATGGCTGGGCAGCTGGATGTAGTTATTCCCCATGGTAGACTGGTAATTAACTCCATGGTGGAATCTACCGGAGCAGCTGAGTAGCTGCTTTAGGGATGTGGGCTGCTTCCGGTATGCAAGAGGCAGCTTTGAGGAAGGTCTCCAGCTTTTTGGCCTGCTTGAACGCTGCATGTAGCCAAGTCTTCATTCAGCAGCCTGCCATGCCCTACCAATCTTGGACTTCTTCTGGATGTGAATTAGTGGCCTCCCATGTTATTTGGTAACACTGGGACTATGCCTTTGTACTTGTCAACCTTGGGTTTGTCAGCCTCAACAGTCAGCAGCTGTCTGAATGAAGAAAAACCTCCAGCTTCAGTGGGCCAGGAGCAGGAGGCAGAGCTGAAACTCAAGGTTGAGGGGCTTTCTCCCACCCCCTGAAGCCTGGCACTTTGAAAACTTGGACTTCTAGCCTCCATAATTATAAGAGAATAAACTGTTTGTTCAAGCCATCCCTTTTGTGGCATTTCTGTCAGAGCAGCACTAGGTAACCAGAACAGAGTATGGTATCGAGAGAGTGGGGTGCTGCTCTGACAGATATCTAAAATGTGGAAACATGAGTGGAGTGCATCCTTGACCCAAGACTGTGGCAGAGTGACCCTGGCACGTGGCATGAGATGGCAGGAGCAGAGCCAAGAGATCGGCATGAGACGGCTGGAACAGAGTCAAGAGAATGGCATAAGACAGTGAAAGCCTTACCAACCCATGGAGGAGAAAGCTGGATGCTATTGGGTAGGTGGCTTCCTGGCAAAGTGGGCTGCCTTCAGGTGTTAATTGGTAGAGATCAGCATGAGATGGCTTCTCTATGCCAGGATGGCCAGCCCATGGAGCAAGAAAGCTAAGTGTCTTTGGGCAGGAAGATTCCGGGTGAAGTGGGTTGCCCTCAGGCATTAATTGGCAGAAGCAGAGAGACCAAGGAAACTGGAAGCAGAGCTGTCCCAGCCTCAAGGGTAGGACCATGGCCTTTGGGGGTAGAACCCCCACAGCCTCCTAGGTTTCAAAGAGTCAGAGTGTCACCAACTTGGTTCTGGATTGTGCGGCTGCTCGTTCATGTGAGCCAATGGGATGGAGCCATAGCCACTGCCCAAGAGTGAGGGGGCAGGGCTGCCATGCCCAAGAGATAGAGGAACGGGACCTGCCAGACCAAGGGAGTGAGGCTGCCACTCAGAGGAACTAGAGGACCCGAGCCACCCAGTGAAGGAGATCTGCACAAATGCCACCCAATGAAGATCTGTACAGGTGCTAAGTTGACAAGGGGTGGAACTGTAGTAGTTAAGGTTGTGTGTCAACTTGGCTGGGCCTGGTTGAATGGCTGGGCAGCTGAATAATTGCCACAGTAAGACTGGCAATTAACTCCATGGAGGAATCTACTGGAGCAGCCAAGTAGCTGCTTTAGAAATGTGGTCTCCTTCTAGTATATAAGAAGCCAGCAGCCCAAGATTGAGGGGCTTTCACCCAGCCCCTAGAGCTGGCAATGTGCACTCGGACTTCTAGCCTCCAAAGCTGTAAGAGGATAAACTCCTGTTTGTTTAAGCCATCCCATTTGTGGTATTTCTGTTAGAGCAGCACTAGGTAATCATAGCAATGGCCTAGATATCTATTTCTCAACTTAGTCGCCCATATGTAAATATAGTAAGTAAAGAGAAAAAAACAAATCTATTATGTAATCTTTCGTATTTAACACCAACTAACAAAGCACATGATTTATCCATGTATTGAAGGTAACAAAGATCCAGATATAAATGTCTACCTACAAAGCACAGCAACAGTAAAAAATAATACAGGCAGTTACTCATATTCATGCATACATTTTTAGAGTACTTAAATACTATAGGTGTTGTGCTAGATCTTATAAAACTTATGAAAAGCTACTCTATCTCCCCATATCCAAATCTTAGATTCTGTGGCCAGCAGCAAAGAACAAAAACTCCAATCAAACTCTGACAGGCTGCAAGATGTGTCTGTTGTTGCTGTTAGGTGCCACTGAGGTGGCTCCCACTCATATCGACCCTACGTACAACAGAACAAAACACTGCCCAGTGATGCACCATCCTCACCATCTTTGCTATGCTTGAGCCTGCTGTTACAGCCACTGTGTCAATCCACCTCATGGAGGATATTCCCCTTTTTCAATGACCCTCTACCAAGAGTTCTGCAGGGACTCATCCTTTCTGACAGTATGACAAAAGTATGCAAGACAAAACTTGGCCATTCTCACTTCTAAGGAGCATTCCAGGTGTACTTTTTCCAAAACAGATTTTGTTCGTTGTTCTAGCAGTCCATGGTATTTTCAGTATTCTTCATCAACATCACAATTCAAATGCATCACTTCTTCGGTCTTCCTTATTATTTGTCCAGCTTTCACATGCAAATGAGGCTACTGAAAATGGCTTGGGTCAGGTGCACCTTAGTTTTCAGAGACATCTTTGCTTTTTAACAAGTCAAAGAAATCTTTTTTTTTTTTTTTTAATTGTGATTTGGGTGGAAGTTTACAGAGCAAATTCACTTTTCATACAGCAGTTCACATACACGTTGTCTGATGTCATCAACAGTTTACCCCAATGCAACACTGCCTCTCCCACTTCCTCCTGATAGTTACCTCTTCCGTGTCCATCATTCCATGCACTCCTGCCCCCTGAACTGTCTCCCTGTTCCCTGTGCATAAACAGCCCTTCTTTCTCCCATGATTGTTCTCTCCAAGGGATGTATCTACCTGAGGTACATGTTCAACTCTTATGCCTGTCTTTTATTTGGGTGGAAGCCACAGGTGTGGGTTCAATTCCAGACCTGAAGGGCAGCTATGGACCATAGTCTCAGTGGTTCCACTGGGCTCTATCAGACAAGCAAACTTGGTCTCCCTTTTTTTATTTTTTTCCCAAATGATTTTGAGTTTTGTTCCACACTGTTCTCCCTCTCTATCCAGATCTCCTACATAGATCCCCTTCCAAGTGGCTGACAGTGGTAGCTGGGCACCATCTAGTTCTTCTGGTCTCATACTCGTATAGGCTGAGGATCACATGGTGTACCAGTCACTAGGACTAATTCTTTCCATGAATCTTTGGTTTTCTTCATTCTTCTTTGCTCTGGATGAGGAGAGACCCACCGCTGCATCTAGATGGCTGCTTGCAAGCTTTTAAGATACCAGTCACTACAGGCCAAAGTAGGAGGCAGAAAATGTTTTGTGTAGTACGTTATGCCAGTTGAGCTTGATGTCCCCTGTGACTGTGGTCCTGAGCCCACAGGTTCAACTACTCGGTCCCTCTGGGTAGCTGGTGTGACCAAGAAATGACTACAACCTTGTCCCTTGTCAGCTCTACTATACCCCTGGGAGTTCTTACTGAACCATTGTCTGCCAACCCTATACATGGTCTTGGGTACACTCCCTGCTACATAGACATACCTAATAGTTCAGCCTGTCCACCCATCTATCCACCCGTATACCCGAGTTGGCCTTCACTGACAACGCAGTACTGTATGTGCAAAAAGGTTCATCTTTGTTGTCTGCACCTCCCATGTACCTCTCTCTGTCTTCCTCTTCCTCAACGCTACATGTTGATCACTCATATTTGGTACACTGCCCTTCTCTTCACCCAAATCAATACTTATGTCTATCTATCTAACAAACAGTGTTCCCTACCCTACCCTCCCACCCCTGGTAACCAAGAAAGAAAACTTCCTTCCATATATAAACTGTTCCTTGACTTTTACAATAACGGACTAATACAATATTTGTCCTTCTGTGATTGACTTATTTCACTCAGCATAATGTCCTCCAAGTTCATCCATGTTATGTGGTGATTAGCAGATTCTACGTTATTCTTTAGGGTTGCATAGTATTCCATTGTGTGTATGTACCACAGTTTGGTTATCCATTCCTCAGGTGATAGACACCTAGATTGCTTCCAACTTTTTGCTACTGTAAATATGCTGCGATGAACATGGGTATGCCTATGTCTGTTCTTGTCATGGCTCTCACTTCTTTAGGATATATACTTAGTAATGGAATGGCTGGAGCAAATGGTATTTCTATTTCCAACTTTTTAAGGAATCGCCATACTGCTTTCCACACTGGTTGTACCATTTTGCAGTCCCACCAGCAGTGTAGGAGAGTCCCAATTTCTCCACATCCTCATCAACATTTGTTATTTTCCATCTTGTTGAACTTTGCTGTTAGTGCTGGGCAAGATGGTATCTCATTGTTGTTCTGATTTGCATCTCTCTGGTAGCATAGTGGCTAAAGCACTTGACTGCTAAC